GCATTCTCCAACCTGTTCCCAGGCAGAATGCCAAAAAAGAGGGGGAAACATAATTCTTGGTAGTTTATTTTCTCTTTTTACTTCTCCCTGTGTCTCTTCTTATGGATTAGAGAAACAAATGAAGTAAGTTGATTGTCACTCAACTACCAGCGTTAAAACCAAAAGAAGATCACCACACAGCATGGCCCCAGCCATGGGAGGCTTAAGAGCTCCTCTGATACCTCCTAGCTATGAAATTTTTCAACACGTTATCTTGAATAACTAATCTTTGGTAAAACACTTAAAGATTAAGTGCAAACAAAATGAAAATCTTCAAAAAATACTCTGTAGAACAGAAGATCACAGAACATTAAAGAAGCTAATAGACAACACAAACTGCTGCTGCTCCACCTTTTTCCTCTAGGAATGAGTAGCAGTCTACCCAGCACAAATCCTCAGTGATTATTTCCACACAGGAGTGCAGTATTGATTTCTCTCCAGCACACAGAGGGCCAGGAGTGCTTTAGCATCGTTTGAGAGAGAAGCCTCCAAAAAGCAGTTGCTGCTGAAGAACAACATTTACTTCAATTGCAAAAAAAATGAATTGTCAGAGCCATGAAGTTTGCAAGCAAGTCTTGCCCTAGCTTCTATGTCCATGTTATCATATAAAATGACAGCCATTAATAATCTGTACGTCCTTGTTGTTATTAGTCATAAATATAGCCTCACAATCCATTAAAGCTAATGAATCTCTCTTGGGTTCTTTAAGCATGCTACTATCATAAACAAATAACAGTGGCTTTTAATACAGGTTACACAAGGGCAGACTTTGACCTGTTATCTGTATATTGCCAATAAGGTAATATACCCAAAAGAAAATAAAAGCAGAAAAGATTTATTTCTTTGTGTATCAAGTGGGGTTCTCTTCAAGCAGCAGATCAAGGATTGTCAAGGTTTAGCCAGGAATGCTATCACACTGTTAGACAAATGGCACCACTCATAGGATAAATAAGTTTATTTTCTGTATGCAGTAAACCTGCTCAGCTATGACCTTCTCCTCTTGTGCAGAGAGGATTCCTCTTTAGGGCTACGAGGACAGTAAATGCAATTGGCCAGACTGTAACACAGGGCTGGCTGCTTTGTTGCATGAAGAATTTAGTGTAAAATCTCCCTGCCCTAAGACAGATGATACACTACCAACTTTGAAGGCTGCTCTTAAACACATCAGTGCTGTGTATAAAGTAGCAGTTCATTTTGATTACTTTATCTGCGAGACAGAACACTGCTTTAAAAAAAACAGAAACAAAACAGTGTAAGTTGTTACCCAGTGACAGGATGCTTTGCAAACAAAACCTCGACACGTCCCTTACGGAACTTGCATCATGGGTTTTCACAGTAACAACAAAAGCAGATCTATGATGAAAGCAGAATGTAAAGAATTTGGTTAATTATAAACCGATTATATTTTAAGACTATTTCATTTCCTCTATGAATCTTTTGTACAGTAGCAGAAATTGTTGCACACTTTAACTGAAAATGTCTCATACACAAGCTCTGTTTTTGGAAAAAAAACTGTAAGAGAACAAAGCTACTGCTTGAGGAGAATTCAAGAGCAAACCCAACAGTGATTGTTAGTGCTACCCATAAGCTTTCATTTACTCTTTTCAAGCAAACAGTAATAAAACGCCTTATAAAACACAACAGTGAAGATGGTTTTGACTAAAGAAAGGAGAAAGCAAAAGGAAGGGAAAAGAGACAAGCTTTGTGTACTGCTTTCTGTTTATATTTACGTGCATGTTTGTTTCTTACAACCAGCCTCAAGAAAGGGTGGCCTAAAGACAGGAACCAAACAAATCAGTCACTGAAATTGGCAGGCTGTGAAATACACACACACTCACAAACCCAAACAAAAACCCCCTACCAAGGATATATGGCATATCCACGTCATTTGCCAGACTAAGAAAAGTGGTCACATAAACACTGTGCTAAAGAAACAGGGTTTACCTCATCTTTTGAAGAGACAGTTAAATAGAGTTTTCATACAATTCATGTAAGATGCAAGTAGCTCTCTAGATATAAAGTAAGTAACAAAGCTACGAACTACAGCAAGCTTATAACTAAAAAGAGCTGGAAATCCGTAAGCACTACTCTGCACCTTGTCCATGTAGCCAGTTACACATTGCAGTCATTACCACACCCCTAAGTTGTTTACCTAGCTACTGTTATACAGCAATTCTGTGTTTAAAAAGTGATTCCAATTCAACTGGACTGGAATTTCTGTATGTTTTATATGTGGATGCTGCAGTAATGGCAGTAAGAACAATAAAATCTGCTCCAAAAGTCACGACAATTTAGAGAATCTATTCTTTAAGAGAATAATTATGTACAGTTTCAGGGTCCAAGGAAACCTTGCAGGTTCTTTTTCCCTAAAGAACACAGCAGCTCTTTTGTTACAAGACACCCCTGAGACAGAATAAAGGCATCTGATGGCAGAGCAGGTCCATGCCAAGTTCCCTAATGAACAAATGATGACCGAGGAAAAAACCAAACAACTCAGATCTTGGCTCCAGCCCAACTAAGCAGAGCGTTTTCTACAAAAATAACAGACCTACTTCAATAGTTTGCGAGTGCCAATGTCCAGACTAATACAGTGATGTGCCAGCTTTCTATTTTTACTATTAAAAATACTGTGCGTGTGTTGATCAACCAAATCCTTTATGGTAGCGCTCTCATGTACAGTTTTGTCCCTTTATAACCAATACAGAACACTACAAGCCTATTCTTTGAATTTATACCAAATCCCATTCCCAAATTATAGCTTCTTAACTAATGAAAAGTTGCACGTGTTTCTGTAAGGAGCTGCTTACCTAAAACTCTGCACATGTTCCTGTTTCTCCTCGGTAATCTGCAAATAACTGTTGTGCAGTAGTCCTGTTCTTCCAGAAACCTCTCTTAATCTCTCCTGGTTACAGGCTAATTCCATGTGAGCAAATAGTCCAGAACATCACACGTGGTAATAAACAGCGAGATGCTGCCCCAGGCCTCAGGTTTCATTTTGTTCCCTTTCTCAAAAACAGACACGTGGTTCCCTTTTCCCATTTCTTTACATTATTTTCAAAACACTAAACTAACACAAATTAGTTGTGAAAGTCTTATCCCCTCCTGTTCTTAATAATTCAGTGGGAACATTATCAACACCTGGTGTTTTATTGTTCCTGGGTGTTCTGGTCGCCTCTTGGTTCTCCTAAAAATGGCTCAGCTGGCTGGAAAATTGCTGTTTGTTCGCCTTTATCCAATTCACCATTAAAGAGATCATTAAAATACTCCCTCCATCTTTCTGTAATTGCATTCTTTGTAAATAAGATTTCCATTTCTGTCCTGTATCTCATTCATGCACAGTTCATGTCCGTGTCTCAAATGCTGAGATCCCAGTAAAATGGTCTGAATTTATCTTACTACACTGACACTTCAAATGCACAGAGCCAGTTTGTGCCATACCATCTTTGTGCTGAATCATTTGCATTACCAGAAGACTTATGGAAGTCACAAAATCCTGACTGCAGAGCAACGTTCAATTGCTTTCTCATACTCCCCATCAAAACCTGTTTTTTTTCTTGCAGTTCTATTGTTTTCTCCTGTTCTGCTCTTTAGTCCAAATGTTTCCCAGCCAGTGTAAAGCTGTTGCACAACATTCAGACATGTTCCTGCCTGTCCCCTTGGTGTTCAGGTCTGTATTTTGTTTCTCAAAGGCAAATGTTACACTTAGAACTTCCCTCTTCATTAAAACAACTCAGTCATTATTTTTATAAAGCAGTAAGATATATTGGAAGCATCTACCATTAGCAGATTTATTAACGATAGCTTTGAAGGATCAGATAATTACTGGTAGCTTCCACGTATTTATTGAATAGAGATGCTTAGTAGATTTTAATCATCTTTTCTAAGACGTGGAATGGGAGGTGGAACTGTTGATGCATCACAACTACCTAAAAGCAGCAGTATAAAGTTTTCTCAGATTCTGTTGGTCACTTTGAGATACTGTGGAAACCCGTGTATTGTTTTCAATGTAATGACTCCAGATGAACAAAAATGCATCCAAGGAAGTTTCTGGATTCCTCCTCCAGTCAGCTTACATGGTAGCAGGTATTTCTAAATGCTGACACAAGCTACCCATCTCTTTTGCAGTGCTTGTGCATGGCTTTTCTCAGTTTTACATATTTTGTCCCTTTGTGTCCAGTGACACCAGTGAATTGTTCACACAGGAAAACCCCAGCAGCTCTGCCTGCATTCATGGGCATCCAGAAGCTCTTGTAACAAAGGCTGTGGATTAACTCCCACCAAGAGCTGCAAAGCACAACGGGCTTCTTTACAAAATGTCACTGTAACATACTCAAAACACCATTTCTTCATACTTCTTGAAGAGTGACAAAAACAATAACCCTGAGGCAACCAGTATTGACAATCCTGGCCTAGATTACAAGCCCCCACGCTAAGTCCTCTGTGGGGCTCCTCAGCAGTGCCACAGACACCAGGACAGGCAGCTCCCTCTCCCCTATGGGGCCTCCACCACCTCCCTCGTTCTCTTGTTAAACTCCATGTACCCAGTTAAGCTGAGCTGGGCCACTAAAACGCCCAAACACTTCCAAGAGCCCCAGAGGCGCGGCAGGACCCCAACAATCCCCAGCAGTTCCGCCCTCCGCCGCTCCGCCCCTCAGCGGAGCCACCCAGCCCCTCAGAGGCCCGGGCCGCCCTAGCGCCCGCGCCGCTCCTCCCCTTCTCCCTGTTCCGCACTTTCGCTACGCCTGTGGTATCAGTCTCCGCGTAGCAGCGGGTCGCTGCGGGCAGACGCCACGCTTCTCTGCCGCTAACGCGGAGCCTCGCCGAGCCTCGCCTCGCCGTGTTTGCTTTGCATTTCCACTGCCAAAATCACTCACGAATCTGCCTCCCGCCGGAAGCCAGCTTCGCCTCTGCCCTGCCAGCGGAAGCGGAAGAGGTGCCATTTTGTTTCGGGTGATGGCGACTGTGGTGCTCTGGAGCTGGGCAGTTTAGTGCGGGCCCGGCCTTCTGGGGGGACTCGCTTCTCGGACAGTCGTTTTTACTGCGAGTTTCCTCCTCCTCGCTGCATCTCCTGGTGATGTACGGAGGGGTCGGAGGTTCTCGACGGACTGCAGAAGAAGCAGGCCCGCCGCCCCTAATGTTGTTGTCAGGCGGGGGAGCGGTCCCCGGGCCCCCCGGAGGAGGTGGAGGAGGAGGTGGAGGGGGGAATAGCCGTGTGGAGCTGCTGGTGTTCGGCTATGCCTGCAAGCTGTTTCGAGATGATGAGAAGGCTCAGTACCAGGAGCAGGGGCGACACCTTATTCCTTGGATGGGAGACCCCAAGATCATGATCGATAGGTCGGTGTAACACAACCCCCAGACTCTGCTGCGAGATCTCCTGTTATAGCCTCTTTCTGTTCCCCCCCTTATGCTGTGGGCAAGTGAGGGCGGGGGATGAACAAAGGCCTCGCTCTGGCAGACGCGTGGGGATCTTCACTGGCAGAGCTGCAGGGCAGCTCCCCGTGGTGCAGTGGTTCGAGTGATGCTTCTGTAACGCTGCAGGGCCGCCCCCGGCAGCGGGAACTTGGGGTTCCCTGCTCTGGCAGCGCTGGGAGGTTCCCCTCCTCCCGCCAGTCAGTGTGTGCTGGGTCTTTCTGCCCCACTCGTTAGGGTCGAGTTTGCAGGGTGGAGTGGAGAGTGGGTGTAATCTGTGCCTTTTCCATGCAAACCACAAACAGCATCTTTTCTCACTTGGGAACCAAGGGAGCTTTGCTTTCTGGGAACACTCCTCAGGCACTGTATATGTTCTCTGAGAAGGGAGCAGTGTGGGGAGTGGAAAGGTATTTGTCCATCTGAGGGGTTTTCTTATTCCTCTTGCATAATCTGGCTGCAGGCTGTTGCTGATGTACCCCAAAAGGAATTCTTGGCCTAATTATCTTTCCCTTGTGCCATGATTCACTGTATTGGGCAGAGTGGCTTTGGTTTAGGGTGCTTACTTCTCAAATTTTATGTCAGAGGTGGCTATTTTTGGTTGCTTTTAAGTAGACAGAGGTTTGTAGCCAGAGAGTGTATTAGAAGCTGCTTTGATTTTTCTTCTGATCTCTTAAGTTGTTTCAGCAGTGCAGGGTGAGATTTAGACATAAATTTATTCAGAATTAATTTTCTGGATATTTTGGTGGGGAGAGGGGAAAATGGGAGGTCAGGTGGAGTGTACTGGAGTGGAGCACTGAAAGTGCAGTTTGAGAGTTGTGGCTGACCCTGAAAACCTCAGTGGGAAGAATGGAAGGGTTTTGGTTTGAAAAGGGTCGCGTGACATGCTGTAGATGTTTGTTCCCTCAACTTCGTCATTGGTTTGGTGTTATAAAGTGTATTTCTTGTTTTGATTGAGCAACTATTAGCTTGGAAAAAAATCAGGAAGGGAAGGGCTTTTCATTTCCTTCCATAAGACTGGAGAAAAAAGAAGAGCCCTTGCACTATTTTGGTGTTTACGCCATTGGTAATTTTTTTTATGATTGAAATTAATTCGTCAAATTGGAATGAATATGAAGACATTAAAAAAACCAACCATAAACATGTACAGCTATGTTTAGTTTCTTTCTTTCGTGAGAATATGAGTGTTACGATGCACACTTCTAGTCCAGATCACTTCTGTGACAGAGGCCACGTCTGTGGTCCTACACAGCAGCAACCCCATTTCCAGCCGTTACAGAAGTTGTTGGGAACAAAGGCTGAGTATGTGCATGTATGTACATAGAATACCGAAAAATCACGATAAGATCCGCTTGTGAGTTAAGGTAGCTGTCAGTTACTGCTCTTGCAGGCTCCTTTGGAAGCTTAGATTCCTTTTACCTGCAGCAGCAGGAAGTCTTCATTCTCAGAATTTTGAGAAAAGCCCATTGCTGTGAGATGTCATGGGCTGGAGTTTGCCTGTGGACAGAGCTTGGTTAACCAGACCTACGTGTTTCATTAACTTGTTGCTGTAAGAATATTTACTTTCTTTGTTTTTGGTCTAGCAAGTTGGCACAAGTCAAGAGTTGTGTGTGGGAAGACACCTCAGCGGAGTCGAGTTCACTGTCACTTTACTTTTCGATCAGTTTCTCTTACTGATGCGTAAACGTTATCCCAATGCAGAGCTTTTCCTGCACATGAAATTGTTTCTCCGTAGTAGAAAGGAACTGTACATCATTGATCTTTGCCGTTTTTACGGTGCACATCCTTAAATTGCATGTATATGTTACTGTTCCTATGTATGTGTGTCTCTCTATCACATAACCCAGAACTTATTTCCTCAGCCAAATGGCTAGGGGCCGAGCCTAGCCATGATTTTACCTCCAATGGACGCAAGTTTCTATGGTGAAGATATCTCCTGAGAGTTCGGGACTAGCAGAAAGAAGCGAGGAAATTTCGACCGTTTGGTTCTTACGGATAGGTATTTATGTATTCGGGTTTGTGTGAATGTAAGCTATTTGACTTTCCAGAAAAACGTATTTTGCAAGTGACATTGATTGGTTGGTTGAAGCACGTACGGTAAGAGCTGTTAAGGAAATGGATCCCACTTAAACTATTAAAGGATACCTTTGCCTTTAATTGTAATAATTTATTAGTTTCTCTGAGAGGAATTTAGACTATTAAACAAATTTTCGATAGTTGGTGACAAATGATTAGCAAAATTAAACGTAACTTCTAAAAGGAAATATGTTTAACGTATAAGTATTTTTTTTTCATTTTTAATGGGTAAGTATTTAAGTAGTCACATAAACCTAAGCCCTAAGTTTTTTGCATTGACCAGCTGTTTCGTCCTGCAGGTACGATGGACGTGGTCACCTGCATGACCTTTCTGAATACGATGCTGAATACTCCACGTGGAACAGAGATTATCAGTTGTCTGAAGAGGAAGCTAGAATAGAAGCCCTCTGTGATGAAGAGAGGTATTTAGCCTTGCATACGGACTTGCTTGAGGAGGAGGCGAGGCAAGGTATTGCTCAAGGAAACTTCCTGAGTTTAGCACATGTTTAAATAAGTATTTATGAAATTAAATTTACTCCTAATTTTATACTCTCTTTTTCTGATGTTATCTTGACAGTACCGAGTGGATTCGAAAAGCGGGAGTCTTTGCGTATGTGAGAGGACCTCAGGATAGTTTAAATATAGATCCACACAGAAATTGCCCAGATTCTGAGGGCAGACTGGGATTTCAGACCTAAAAACCCCAAAATAAACACATTCTGCCTTTTTTTTTTTTTTCAGTGTTGTATGAATGAAATTCTGTGCTCTTGTATGCGTAACCACATCAGAATGTTTTAACCCGCAGCCTTTACCTCTTCAGGAAGAAATAAATGGTCAGCATATATACATATATATATATATGCTGCATTTTTCTATTCAATTTTTAATGCAAGTTAAAATGATTAGGTGAAAACTTCTCATTTAAAAAGTAAAGTAAGAAATATTACTCTTTCTTTTCTTCTTTTTTTTTTTTTAAGAAATTAGCTTTTAAGTACATTCTAATGATTGGTAATTGCATTTTTGTTCAAGAGGAGGAATATAAAAGACTGAGTGAAGCTTTGGCAGAGGATGGTACCTATAATGCAGTGGGATTCCATTATGGCAGTGATTATTATGACCCTTCAGAACCCACTGAGGAGGAGGAGCACCAGCCTGCAAAGCAAAGAGGTAAGGAGTAAAGATAGTAAGGGTTAATAGAGACTTGTGTTCCTCACTGCTGAGGGTTGAAAGACGTGTGTTTCATTACAATGCACGTAAAAAACCTCAAAGCATTTCAGCCAAAGCCTTATGGAAATGTGCTGCTGAGTATTTGCAAACTTCAGTCTTGATGTGCTTAAAGGTTTTCCTGCTGCGGTGCAGGCAGTATTACAGTAGTCAGGATAGGAAACTTAATTCTACTCTCTTACGGATTCTTATTCTGAAAAGAAATACAATTCATCACATGGCTGGCTGTTACCACTATGGTTCTTGGTCAAGAAGGAAAACAAACAGAATAGTAATAGCCAGAACATATATTTCTAAGTTTAGGTTTTGTCATCCTAATAATTATAAATGAGTCTCTCTTCAACGGAGGGTGCCCCTCTCCATGACCTTAAAAAATGCAACACTCAGGTTCCCATGTTCCCATCTTTGATTACGATAATTTTGCATTTTTAATATGAAGTCTTAAGGAGGCTTTCAAGTCTTGCTGAGCTGTATCTTAGTAAGTTTAGAGTTGTTTAATTAGTGATCGCGTTGTCTATGTTTTGGTGGGTATGAGGTGTGCTTTGTTTACCAAGGTGTGTGCTACAAGGCAGGAGCATTTTGGACGCTGAAGAGGTTTTGGTGGGTTTTGCTGCTGTGTGGGAGGTCGTGTCAGGGCAGCATCGATGCTGCTTGCATTCTACCAGGGGTTTGTCCTGTACCCTTCAGTACTGGTGCTGAATTGTGTTGTCTTTTCTGGAGTTTCTTTCATTTGTTTTATTTCTGTTTGGTGGATTACACAACCAAATAGTTACGAAGTTCTCTTATGGTTTTTGAGTGTTTCTGGTCATAGGGATGTTTTTCATGTTGTGTGGCTCTGTGTATATATAGAGATAAGCCTACTGAAAAATTAGGGATATTAGAGAAGAACATGCTTGTATTTTGGATTACCCATCTTTCTGTACTTCATAGAGATTAAAAAGGGGAATGTCCCCTCTATTGATCACTAAAAAGGGTGCTGAACCTAATAGACTGTCCATGTTGTAGGAGGCCTTTGCAAAACTGCATGAGAATGTGCCATAATGTTCTACCTTTGATTAAGTGTGTAAGGAATAAATGAACTTCCAGTTTCGTTTGGTAAGAGACCTGTCGTGAGTTCAAGTTGTCTGGATTGCTCTACATTCTTTTTCTTTCCCAGAACGAGGAGATATCTAGAATAATGTATTTCTGTCTTAATGAAGTAATATTTTTAGGAATAATATTAAAATGTGATGACTTAGTCACTGGCAAAGAGATGTAACTACCCAGTCTTTCAGCAAGTTAATATTTAGGTAATTAATATTTGATGCAGCTTGCAAGTGTCATGGTAGGCTATTACAACATCTTGGGGTGTAATGTGAGAACTCTCAGTGCTGCTGACGAGTAGAGATCGTTATAGCTGGTCATTGCAACATTATCTCTGTTGTGAGCTTTTTTACCAAACTCCTCATCTTCTAGAAAATTTCTAGTAATGATGGATAGCAAAGGAGCGTTTTCTAGTAACACTTCATAGTACTTTGGGGGGTGAAAAGTACTGGGGGCAAAAGTGAGATACAAACATCGATGTTGTGTTTTGCTGCAGCTGAACTATGTAGACCTTTAACAGATTGCTATATGCTAACTGTTTCCAATAATATGGAACTATAAATTCTTTAATTTTTTTTTTATAAACCATAATAGAGTGAAATCCCATATTGGAAGATGCAGATAATGGTAATGTGAATTTCAGAGTGTAGTTCTGTGAACACTTCAAGTGTTAGCTGAAGCTACTGTCAAAACAAGCAGTCCTCTTCTGCTTGCTTTGCTGCTTCTTCCTCCTTTCCTTGTATGCTTTTGTGGAGTTAAACTGTTTGAGTTCATTTAAAAAACAGACAAACAAACCCCACAGAAAACCCCGCCAGACAGCAACAAAAAGTTAACTCTCTTTCTGGCATGGGCAAGAGCTTGTACACAGGAATTGCTATGACACCTCATGCATGACTGGGCTGTTCTGCTGTCTGTGCCCATAGGTCCCATGTCAGGTTTTCATGCAGTTTGTGCTGTCTCATTTGTTAGGATAAAACTGGAATACGTTTTTCTCTTAAAGCTAGTAGAATAGATAATACTAAAAGTTACTTTAAAAAGTAAGCTTTCCACTTCAATTTTTATAAAAAATTATAAAGCAGAATATTTTCAGAGGAACATTTCTAGTAAACCAAATAGCAGAATGTAATACAAATTAGCCTTTATAAATGAATGATTTTAGATGAGTAATTCATGTAATAAATCTGTTAAGTTTGATATAAAAGGAGCCATACTAACTTTGGACTGAACTCACAGATGAATGGCAACATTTATTTTCATCAGTTCTTAAGGCAACTACTTGTTTATCTCTGAGATGATGGAAGTGGATTTTAGCCTCCCTATTGCATTCCCGTACAGCTTTCAGGAAAGTACTTAGGTTTGTTTGCTTAAACTGAAATGGTTTATTAACAGGGAGATGAATTCAGATAGACCAGATGTATCGGTCTTAACAGCTTTAGAGGTACGAGATATCTGGAATACTTTAATCACTGTTAGGAAAGGATCCATCCAGTGCATTGAAAATGGTTCCCCTTAATTTTGCATGGGTTTTCTTGTAAAAACAAAAAGGAATCATCATGAAAATAAGTGTTTTCTGTTTGCTTTGACACTTGTTTGTCTTCAGTACAGTAGTCAGTGCTGAGGTTTATAGGGTTTTGTTCTTCCTAGTACCTCTATTAAGACATAATTTATACAATCTTAAATAAAGTACAAGTAATGTCAGAGGGAGGAACATTGTTTAAATGTCTTCAGTGCAAATGCTGGTTATAGTTTCATCTGAGAAATTCCTTGATTGCACTTCCTTTTATATATACTGTATTTTAGTAAGATTTCTGTTAACAGTTGGGTACTTTGACGTGTTCTGTCCTATAGCACTTTATTCTGTCATTTCTTGTAGAAACAGCTCAGACAGAAAACGCAGAAGAAAATGAAGAACCTTTTGTTGCCCCTCCGGGACTGAACGTTCCTTCTGATGTGGAACTGGTACGTGTGTACATTCAACACAACCTGTATTTCTGTCAGTTTTCAAGGAGTTTATGCTGCTTTGCTGATTTTTTTTTCCCCATTAACTTTATTGTGGCACGTTTTACATTATTCTAAAATAGTTGTTTAATTTCAGATTTTTCTTTCTTCAATTTTTGAGTTCTGTCAGCTCTCTTGAATCTTCTTTTTCACACTGGAATTATTGCTGTGTTCATGCTAAGTATCACTTAGTGGTATTACAGGAAAAAAGGGAATTGTTCTTGGAGTGGATACTTACTGAGATATTAGGGTTGACATTCCAGATGTAAAGGACCACCAAACCGAGAGATTACTTTTGTTCAAGACTTTTTTCTGAGTTCTTTTTAATTGAGTTCCAATCTGAAGAGAGCCCAAAGGGATCTAATATAAAAACTGTGTTTAAGACTAGCCAAGGAGAAAAGAAGCAGTTTATTTCTAGCAAATTCTGAAATAACTTGGAAGTAGTAGCATATAGACTGCTTCCTTCATGTGATGTTACCAGAATTTGCTACATAGTAAACTGCAAGCATAATTGCAACTCATGTATTTTTCCTGAAGGGTGCTGAACATTCACCTGCTTGAATACAGTTGTAACTATGAGGATTTAAAATTTATTTCAAGTTTCATAAAAGATCCCGAGAAGTCAGATAATATTGTTTCTTCTATGCTGTGATCATGAAAGTATTAATTTGTATTTGGGCTGCCTCCTCAACTTTATAACCTTGGCCAGTAAAGATTCAAAGCACTCTGTTAGAATAACTAATAGTGAACACAGGGTATTTGTGTGTTTTCCTACTTCATTACCAGATATTGTTATATGAAATAAGAGCTATTTAACAAATCTAATGTGCAACTTTATTTGTTCTAATGTTACTTCCTCTACTTTTGTTTACGATTTTCTAATACATTTTGTTAGTGAAGTGCTTACGAACGTACTTCTGAGTTCAGGGAAGATTTTTCTATGTTATTGCCTTTAAATTACGAGTTATGCTTCAGTCCTGGAATGAGAACATTGAGTTCTCAGTGAGAAGCTGCTTATTTAGTATTTTGATGCTGTTTCCAAAAAGTAACTGCTGGTGTTTTTAGATAGTTGCTTTGCTCGGATTTTGTTCTGAAATTTAAAGTGTATTTACTGAAGTAATTTCTCAGTCGAGTATTGAACTCTTGTACATTCAAATGAGCAGAAAGCAAATGTGGGCATATTTGGTTTTTATTTAAAAAAAAAAATCAAACCAAATTGTCTAGACAGCAGCTCTGAGAACAGCGTATACTTGACCTTAGACTGGAAATTGTGAGAAGTTTGTTTTTGTTGTTGTTGCTGTTGTTCTAGTCAAGTCATTCAGTTTTACCGTTGAGTGTATTTATTCTGTATTTGATAACAGAATAAAGAATGGCTGTTGAGGAGAACACCTTACATGTTGAGTGCTCAGAGCACCTTGAGGTGATGTGAGGTAGTTGACACTTGAAGTTGTCATTGCTATGTCAAGAAACACATCTGTCTTCTGTCTTGTGAGCAGAAGTGTCCGTGTGGCTATGGGATGTACCTGGCTTCAAAGAACTTTTTAGCTGCATCAAACTCAAGCAGGATTTGTTCCCCTCTTCAGTTTGGTGTGCAATGGCAGGAACAGTTGTGCTGATAGAAGGAGAGGATTTAGCAAAAGGAAATGAAGGAACAGCCAGGAAGATTTAGGTTTTTTTCAGTGCTGATATTCATTCACTGGTTGAAAGTGATTATGAAACTCAGTTGCTAGAGAAAGCTGAGAAGAGGGGCAGGGAACTGCTGCTCTTTCTATTTCCTTCTGGAGTTCTACCACGCTTTACAAGCTGCTTACAAAAATATTTATTCTTTTACTCCCACAGCCACCAACAGCAAAAATGCATGCGATTATAGAACGAACTGCAAACTTTGTCTGCAAGCAGGGAGCACAGTTTGAGATTATGCTAAAAGCTAAGCAAGCACGCAACTCCCAGTTTGACTTCTTGCGATTTGATCACTACCTCAATCCCTACTACAAATTCATTCAGAAAGCTATGAAAGAGGGACGATACGCTGCTCCTTCTGAAAATAAAGCGGATGAGAAAAAACGTAAGTTGTTGCTTGTCAAGGGGATGGCTGCAGGATGTGAATTGCTGAAACATCCACTCTTTTGGTAAAGCAGCCGCATCATTTTGGCGTGGTGCAGTAGCAATCCTGATATCGTGTGACTGAGATGGGTGCGACAGTTCAAAATTTCACTTAAATTGGAGGAGATTCTTATTAGAAAAGTTGGTTTGGGGAAACTTTCAGGTATAAGAGCTGCTATCATCGTGGAGCTTTTAGAAACACTTGTATAGCTCCAGTCCAACAGAAAATTGGTCTATGCACTTAAATTTTAATTTTATTGATGGCTAGCAATGTCTTCTGGTATCTATGTTTTTGTAAATAAGCAGATTTATGAAAACACTGGTTTCTTAAGAATGTGCACTTGTCCTCTATCATCTTTCTCTCCCAAAACAAATCCATAGCAAACCCAAATAAAATTCAGAAATTGCTTTTATTTAGACTCGAGAGTTAAATCTGAGGAAGATGATGATGATGATGACGATGATGATGGAAATTACCTGCATCCAAGTCTCTTTGCATCTAAAAAGTGCAGTAGGCTTGAAGAGCTCATGAAGGTACTTGACTCTGTTAAAATTACTTTCTGCCTTGTAAAACATCTGCACAACAATTCTAATATGCATGTGTTAAGATCTTTTGTTAATAAAGATCATTTTTTCCAGGCTGTGTCTTAGTAATTTAAGTCTGTTTTGGTAAAATTTCAAGTTAACTTTTCTCTAGTATGTAAATTATTGTTTTTCCGTTTGTAAGGAATTATATTTCTATTTTTGATGCCCTCTGGTATTGAGGGCATCATTTAAGGATTTATCCCACGGAACCTGTATTGAAGCTGAAAAGATTAAGATATTTAATGCCTTCTGTATATAAGCTGAGAGGGAATGTTTTCTTTTCAGATTTTGGTAGATAAAATGTTGACATGAAGTAATAGTTTCAGTAAATAATATTTCAGCAGAATTAGTACTGCTCATTACGTGTAAATTTTGCTGGATGTGTTATTTTTATTTTCTGAGTTTGATCAGTGTTGGAATAATGGGACTGACAGATGGTTGTACACATTCGAGGCTTTCAGAGGAATGGCAGTGGTGCTGTCTTACTCTTAAACGAGTAAGAGTAATACCAGCTTGCTTTCTTCATTTGGTCGTGGATTTCTGTTCACATTGAAGTATTTTTTGCTTTGTTTTCTTTTCCACAATTTTTTTTTAAAAAGAAGTTGATTCAGGTGTGAGAGCTACAAAAACAGTAACTTCAGTGTTTGGACATTTTAACTGATGTCTGTTTTATCTTAGATAAATTTGCTTTCCAAATTAGGTTGGTGCTGTCATACTTTAAATGTGTACTTGAAACTTTAATCTTTTCTTTTATTCTCACAATGTTTTCAGCCTTTGAAGGTAGTGGACCCCGATCATCCACTTGCAGCGCTGGTGCGCAAAGCGCAATCAGATAATAACTCATCCACGCCACAGTCAACAGATGGGGCAGCTGTGCAGACATCACAAGCAGAGTATTCTTCTGATTGTAAGTGCGTGGTGATTAGACAGCTGCTGGTGTGTCTTGATGAATTGTAGTGGGAAGAAAGTCCATTAGCTTCACACTTGATCATTGATAACTGCTATTTATTTGGTTTCAGTCTCTTAAATCCTTGAAGGTGCATCCTTGTGCTGAGGGTCTGTTGAATTCTTAGCTGCTTAGGAAAAGGAGCAATGGGGTAGAAGGGGTGGGCAGGTGAGAGGCCAAGTGTCCAGTCTGTGAGTGGGGTTAGCACGGTACCCTCCATGGGTTTTTTGATCACTTCCATCAGTTTCTGCTAATGAAGCCTAATGAATGCCTTTACTGTTGGATCTAAAACCGTCCTATAAAGCAATTCATGAGATTCCCATGAAAAAGAGCTTACTACATTAAGCAAAGTGCAGATGATAAATCTGCTTTGGACAGTTTTGCTGGAGTGTCTAAAACTAAAAAATCTGCAAAGGTAAAATCATGGAAATTGAAGGATCCCACTGAAGTGATAAAACCTGCTTTTAGTGTAGTATTCTGTTCTAAAGTTGGAATTAGTTTTACAATAAATAAGTCTTCTTATAAAATTGATCTTTTAAATTATTTTTCTTATTACAATATCAGAGAGGGAGTAATGACTTTTAAGTTCCATAGCTACAAGAACCCATTCTTTATTCCATTTTATTTTTTTTTCTTAAAAGAATAACAAAAGCAATGATATATTTAAATTATAAAGCCTTTGCACTCAAGAAACGTTTAGATTTGGAGAAGCTTCTAATGTGGAAAACTTACTCAAATTGGTTCATTGTGTTGGTGTTCAATTGCAAAATCTGTTTACTTTTTGAGGTTTCAGTAAGAGAGTGTGTCTCTATATAGTAATATAGTGGTTTAATACATATATAGTGATGCTAGTGGTTTAATTTCTCTATGTTAGTTTTGAATGTATGCACATTTATTTCTTAATGCATACGTAGTTCTAACCGAGTTAAACTGCCAGAGGTGAATTAGATTAGGCAGAATGATTTCATATTAGGTCATTTTTTAAATAGGCCTCTCTGGTTCACTTCTTTACTCATACCTATTTGGCTTCCAACTGACCTTCAGTACGTTCTGATTCTGTCTCTTAATCTGTGTTTCTTATTCATCCTAAGTGTGTTAATATGAACGTTTTTCTTTTTTTTTTTTCCTTTTCACAAAAAGTTAGTTACCATTTCTTAGTGTGTGGTGTGAATCTGGATTCCCAGTGTGTTTGTACTGATGCAGTAATGTGTTTGTTTGGGTTTTTTTAATTGGATGTTTTTCTTCTGATTGGAACATTGTCATATCTCTTTACAGCAACCGTGGCAGCCATGTATTATAGTTACTATATGCTACCTGATGGAACCTATTGCCTCGCACCTCCACCTCCAGGAATAGATGTTGCCACCTACTACAGTGCGTTGCCTGCAGGGGTGACCGTATCAAGCACTACAGGGGTAGCAACAGTACCTCCACCCCCTGGTACTACACCTCCACCTCCCCCAGACACAACCGATAGCAGCAGTGGGTTGACTTCTACCACAACATCTACAAGGTACCACATCCAGCTTTGCTTGTTGGGTGGAGGGGTGTCTTTCCTGCACTTCCTTACAAAGTATTTAGTAGTAGTTCTGTTATTGGTGATTCCTCGGTAACGTTCACCAGCGTTAATGCAGCTTCGGTTACCTCCACTTTGGTCTTTGATGCTGTACGTGGTTTCTGTTACTCAGCTGCTATGAACTTTTTGTGTGATGGAAAATCAGGTTATTTTTAACTATATAATGAAGACAAATCTCAAACATGTATGCAATGGTGTTTGTTAGGACAGAAGTCTGAAGGATACTTATGTTACATCTATAAAAATGATGTACTTTTGATTTTTCAGCACAATTGCTCCAGTGGTTGCCATTATACCTCCACCCCCAGATATCCAACCTGTTATTGATAAGCTAGCTGAGTATGTTGCTAGGAATGGGATAAAATTTGAAACCAGTGTTCGTGCCAAGAACGATCTCAGGTAAGAGAAAATGTTCTTTAAACTTCTATTTTAAAAGTTGAGGTTTTCATCTTTAAATATATTACCAGGACGTGCAGGGTCTCGAGATGTACTATCATTTTTTTAATTGAAATTCAGGGACCTACTTAAAGGTCCTACTTAAAGCATTACTGCCCAAATCCTCTAAACAACCAGCCTAACAAAAACATCTGTAGAAAGCGTGCTCTGAATGTGCATCGTTTGGAAGTTTAGGCATAAGTTACAGCGCTTTCAAATGTCAAAATATCGTTCCATCTGCTAGACAAAATTAGATGGGAAAGGATTGTTGGTATTTACTATGTTCACGTGCATTTTCACTTACTCAGTTTTCTTTTAACAGATTTGAGTTCCTGCAACCGTGGCACCAGTATAATGCTTATTATGAATTTAAAAAACAGTTCTTCCTTCAAAAAGAGAGCAGTGACAACTGTCAGGTACCTGTCTGTTTGTATATACTTGTATTAAAAATGCAGTGTGAGTGAGGACTTGCTTGTCTGTTGTGTTACCATGAGATGTTTTAAACATTGAACTCTCTGAATTATGGAGAAATTACTCAGCAAAGGATGCAAGTGCTTTTTTCGTCGTGTTTTGGTTTTGTCTAGCATTTAAGTAAGGATGTGTGAGGTGGTGTGATATTTAGTTCTTGATTTTTAGTATAAGCAGCCACTCAGTGTGGTTGCAATGTAGAATGGCAGTCTGAAAATCTTTTGGCTTTTCATACAAGGGAATGTGTGCTTTGTGGAGGTTGAGAGTTCTGTAGGCTTTGGGTTAGTGTTCTGTTGTCAAAGGTTAGGTACAGCTTTTTAACAGCCGTACCTCCTCGTGTGCCTCATGGTTCTGTGTAGAACAGTAGCGTAGTAACTAAACTGCTTTTCTGACATGCTGTTTTCTGAGGAAGGTTTTGTTAAAGAAGAGTGCTGTTGTGACTGACTGAATGAAACACTGTTGGAGCTTCTAAATCTGACATCGGTTTCCTGCTTGCCTTGCTTTTTCTTGTCCGTGTTATTAGAAGGTGATACCCAGACTTGGCATCCTTGTTTTTAACTGTTCTCCTGTTAGATAATCTCATTAGAGTGTTCTTTTACTGAAACAAAAAATTGCAAATAGTATCAGAATTAACATTATCTGATGTTAACTTTTCATGGGAAAGAGCTATTTTTTTTTTAGGCCCTATGTCATTTGTCATCTCAAGGCTTAGATTGGGGAGCCTTAAACTGAAGAAGGTAGGCCTGTGGGTAAACTCCTCAAAATCACTTTGTGGAAAATGAAGAAATTCAATACTAGTTGCTGTTTGAAACACCTGTGTCTAATATTTTGTTCTAATAGTGAAAAATGTTTTGAAAACACTGTTTAAAGATAAGCTGTGCTAAATAATGATGTTACTCAGTTGATAAATTACATGCAAAATTGTCCTGTACCACAACGCTGACTGTTACTCTAGATGTTGTTATTCGCAGACTGGTGGGTTGAATTCATAATGTGCACATAATGAGGACTTGTTAACGTTTATTTGGGGGGAAAATTGTACGCTAACCAATGTGTAAGAATAAAGAGTTCATTTTAAGCATTCAAATGAGTACAGCTAAGAAGCAGGCAGAAACTGGTTTAAGTCCCTTGAGGTCATGGGTAGCAATGCATATTTTCCTACTGCATGGTTTTGTAGATAATGGCATTCTCTTTAATTTTTGAGAATAATGATTTCAATATTATCTTTATGCTTTAGTAATGTACATATAGGCAACTAAAGCAAGTGATTGTTCTCCTTTTGGCCATTAAAGTTAATAAGAAATTGTACTACTGGCTTCAGTAAATACAGAATGAAGTCCTTGATTTCCTTGCATTTTTCCCCTCTGAGGATTTTCAGGAATTAGTTCTGTTAGTCAGGGAATGGCTGCAGGGAGCAATGAAAGCATCTCTTCGATACCTGATGTTTCAACATTAAGTATACTTAACAGCAGCCAGTGGAAAGCAACCACACTATTTATTGAGAGAGTCTTATCTAAATGTTAAGTTCTTTAATGTCATGCCCTGACTCGCCATGTAAATATTTTTAATGTTCTACAATAACCTTCATAAAATTTTATACTGTGAATTTAGAGGTCGTCTTGAATGATTCAGTCATGTAACAGTAGAACCAGTAATTCTTTACTCTTTTGAAAATCTCAGCACATCTATACTGTGTTGATTTAATGTCACAAAAAGTACTGATATACCCAATGTTCTTCAACAAAATGTTGGAGCAAATCAAATGTGTTAACCTGTGTTGATCCCCATAAAACTTGATTTTGTAAAGAAAGTATCACAGAATCACAGAAAGTCAGGAGCTGGAAGGGACCTGGAAAGCTCCCCCAGTGCAACCCCTGCCAGAGCAGGATCACCAGAGCAGTCACACAGGAAATGCAATTGCACATCAGGAAAAAATGTCCTAAGCTTTCATTCTGTCGCTGTGGATTAATGGGTTTTGCCCTGGAACCAGGAGATTGGGACCTAAAATGTATACTTTGGGATAGTCAGCAGTTGTTGACAGAAGTGTAGCAGCTGAAGAACATTTCCTTTGCTGTGAAATAACACGTTCTTACTGTAGGTCTGTAGTTCTTGCAGCCTGTGGGTTTACCTGAAGGAACACTTTATTTATAAGCAGCAGACTCTTGGTCAGGAGTGCTTGTTGATGTAAAAGTAGCTGTTATGTGATTAGCTGATAATGAGATTTTTTGAAATGGCTGGCAAAATTGCAGCTCCACAGGCACTGCATTAATTCTTTCACGAACTATACCCAGTCAGTAAGCATGCCCATTTCTTTTGAAAAGGGAGTATCTTCATCTGAAGAAGTTCCAGCAGATACTGCTGGTGATGCACCAGGTGAGACGCAGTTTGCAGATGAACACGCAGCTGAAGATGCAACTGAGCCAAGTGCTAAAGGAGCTCCAGGGACTAAAAAGGATGTTCCTCCTCCTAAAACCGTCAGTGATGGTAAATTGGTGAAAGGTACGTTAGCGTGGTGTGTTGGGTGTGAAAGTATCTGGTGGTGTGTACTTAAGAAGAAAAAAGGTGGGGAGGGAGGCAGGGGGAAGGTAGGGAAAAGAATATCAGCATGTGGAGATTATTTTCACTGAAAGCATCAAAAAAGGACTGAAATAAGTAATTTGATTGCTTTTGTATTTCTTTCTTATCAGACTGCCAGGTATTTCTGGTCTGACAGAATCAATTGTTTTATTTGAGTTTTATGCAAAGTTGAAGACTTTCATCAGTGACCCCAGTAGAATCTTATTTTAGTCATTTTAAACTTGACAGTTACAAGCTCTGTGCAAGAAAGAAGTTATTCCTTCTGAAGAAAAGCAGTAGTCGTATTTGAAACCACACGTATGGAGGAAGTGCCCTGGGCTTATCGCTCAGTTGCTCAGTCTGCCCATGCTGGGCGTTAGTCGTGCTGGAGAAAAAGATCCTTTTCATGGCGAAGTGGAATGGTTTTCCTCTTGCAGCCATAGCAGCAGAGGGACAAAATGGGAAGGTCTCTTGGGAAGCCAGTTAAACAGAGTTGGCCAACACACCATTAGTGTCCTAGGTTGGAACAGTGATTATTTGTACCTGGGAAATTATTTCCTGGCCTATTAGGAAAAAAAAAATCTTAAAATTCCTTCTTTTCAGTAAAAACTAGAAACTTAAATCTTTTAATTAGAACTGAGAGGCACTGAAAAAAACAACCAAACAGAAAACTAAACAGGAAAACCACTCTTGGCCTGTGTTCCCATGGATGGGTACTGCCTTCCTGCCACTTCAGTGGCTTTGTTTACTGTCAAGGTCCTGCCTCCCTGCCACTTCAGTGGCTTGCTTAACTGCAGAGAAGTTTATCTGCTCCCTGTGAACGCTTGGAATTCTTCTCTCTCCCTGCTGCTCTCTGCAATTTCTTTCCCTCCGTGGGCTCAAGCTGTGAGCTCTTTGCCGTGTTGTCTGGCTGTCCATACGCTGCAGTTTTTTCTCTGGGTAGGTTGAGTAGCGTCCCCAGGGAATGAGCAATTTTCCCTGTCTTCAAAGATGCCCTATTAAGAGAACAGAAAATGATATCATTTATTTTTGTTATGTTATTAATAAATGGCAAACTGGAGCCTGCGCTTTAATAATAATAATCTGCTCAAATTTAGAAGATGGAATGTAACCAGTGAGTCACTTTATGACAATCCTATTACTATGAAGTTATTTCCATTTCCTCTAATGTGGTACAAATTCCACTTTCTTGTAAGCTAAATACAGCAGTTGGCTGCAAGACAGACATAACATCCATGCTAGATTTTTCTTCTGCCTCCGAGGGAGTAAAATCCCGTTTTAGGATTTGTTTTGTCATGTGAAAAGTTTGGAAAGTCACTATGAAAATCTCTCTTCTCTTGGAATTCTTGTGTACTTCATTTCTATTTCCTTACCCCAGAATTACAAGATGCAAAGCTGATATTTTATAAACCTTGGTATGTAATTTAATTCTTGTATTTAAATTTCTGTAATTGAAATCTTAAGGAATATATATGCAAAGGGCATCCTGAGACAGTCAAATACTGCAGCAGACCATGTTGTAGTAGTTTGCTTTGCTTGAGGTGTGTGAGAAATTCCATTCTTTGTTCTTTGAAGTTGCATTTCGGATAAGTGGTTTAGAGATTAATTCTGGTTTGTGTTTTTGTTTTTGTTCTGTTTTGTTTTTAAGAAAATGCTTCTCAAAAAACGTTCCAAGGGCAACTCTGTGAGGCAATAGGATTAGTTCAGGCTTAAATATAGTTAAATATTAGCTATGCCTGTTATTTTTTGAAGTTCCATTAATACAACCTAGCTTGAAATGACCCACAGTTTCATTTTTATTGTGGTATTCCATGGTTTTCGCAGGCGTTTTTCCCTGGAGTGTGCTGGCATCAGTGTGTCCTGCTGTCCTTCTGCGTAGGAGTGGTAGGCACTGCTCGAAGGGAAGCTGACCACCAGTCCTGCTGCAGCAAGGCTAGCTAAGACATGTGGGGAAAAGTGCTTAGCTTTTTGCATTTATATCTCCTGTAATGAAATGATAACTCCCCAAAGTAATTAGTTTTCATATAGATGGAAATAAGTCTTTAAATAGTGTTCTGTGAGCCTGGCAAATGCTATTGTTGTGCAAACCATCGAGTTAGTGTGAAGGAAACATAAGGGACCGTATCATGCTGTAGTGCGTCAGATAGGAGGCTGAGCGCAGAACCGTTTCATCCTAAGCCCTGAAGAGTAGATTGTTCATTTGGGAAAAGAAGTAGTAATAAAACTAAAATTTATTTGGGACAGAACATGAAATTATTTATCTCATCTCAGGAAATGTAATTCTTGAGATTTAGAGTAGCTTGCTTTTTCCCTGCTGCTACTGAAGTATTAGAAAAAGACTTTGAGTTAGATCCTTACAGGGCAAATGAAGTTTCCAACATTTGGTTAAAAAAAGGAGATAAAAAATACTGTGGTGTCCTTTTCTCCAAATTAATTGCTGTGACATAAGGATGATACAAGTTTCTTTTTTGTGGTGGTGTCTGCACAAGTAGTGGATAAAGTCAAGAAGTTCCACGTGCTTTCTGCTGTAGTCTAATGATGTGTAAAATCTTAACCGTTCTTTCGCAGCATCATTTGCTCCAATAAGCTTTGCAATCAAGGCCAAAGAGAACGATCTTCTGCCTTTGGAGAAAAACCGTGTTAAATTAGACGATGACAGTGATGAGGAGGAAGAAGAGGGCAAGGAAGGCCAAGAAAATGCTAATAGTGCTGCAAACCATACTCCGGCTGTTCCCACTCCTTGTCCTGCTGCTGAAGAGAAAAAACCTCAACTTACCCAGGAGGAGTTGGAAGCTAAACAAGGTATCCCATGTTACACTGAAAACAAAGGGAAAGGTTGAGTCCTGCAGGCAAACTACAACGCTGTCATACAAACAAGTGTGGCATTGTCAGGATCTGGATCTTCACTGCATCATGTTAACAGAAATCAGAATTCTTTTCTTTTTCCAGTTTCCTGCTTATTGTGAAGGATGAAATCTTCATTGGTTGCTCAGTTAAAATCAAACTTGTAACACTGGAGTTGAGTACTTTGCCCTAATGTCTGATCTTTCTGAATTTTATTTTTGGTTTTCCATTACAGCCTCCGAGTAAAACACTAAACTTCTAATTTCCAGAGTGCATTAACAGAGCCCAGAAGAAGATACCTCCGTTTCTCATTTTCTGCAGAGAACAATGAAATGCTTCAGGCTGTTTTTCAGTATAGCACTCCCATATAGACTAATATCACCTTGTTGATGTTTTGTACTCATAATGCAATGCCATTAAGTCTTTGTATGGGTTTTTCCTGTTACTGTGTTTATGTATGTGAGGGCAGCAGGGTATGCTGTGTGAATTTGAATGAAATGATCTTTTAAAGGGATCAAATTTCACCCGTTCCTCCCCAGGGCTGTTTCACAGCAGAGGTTGTTTAATAAAGTGAAGATGCTGTCAGTGTTTACCAGCTTGAAAACTTAATATTTCCCTTACAAATAGGAGTATGCCACAGGAACTTTAATTTTTCATTTTCTAAATGTTTTTTGGTTTGAGTTTTGGTTTTTTTCTTGCAGCAGCAGTTCCTTTCCAAACTTCAGTTGTACAGAGTGTGCTATGGTAATACATAATTAAAGCAAATATGAAATATTTCAAATTATAATAAATATGTTTGGGAAAAGTTGTGTCTTGGAAAAACTGTGCTATTGAACAAAAAACCAGTATCTTGTACATGCACAACACACAAAAGTGGAAGTAGAAGGTGGAAAAGGTTGAACAATATCCGTTAAGTGCACAGTTAAATAAATTGGCTTACTCTCTTTGTGTAATCAGGTTACAGTATCTGTTGGTTGTAGCAATGGTGAAACAGTGTCTGAAAGTGTCTGGAGCAGCCCTTTGTGGCCATTTAAAGGTGTGTGTAAGTAGGGCTGGAGCACGTAATGTAAAGATCAGATCTATGGAAAGAGCAAAATGGAGCGTTTGCATCACTTTTTAACAAGAAAAAGCTTCTGAATTTGGAGTGATACTTTTTATGATAACTTTTCTAAATAGAAAAGGACAAATATCCTGAATTTTCAGGATTGGATTTTCATGTCATTTTCTTTAAGCTTAATTTTTTTTTACTTTGCTGGTACTGCTTTTCATCAGGCAAATGACACATCTGTGAATTAAGATGCTTAGAATTTTGTAATTTCAAGCTGAGATGTCCTTGCTGTGTCTTTGAATGGACATATTAGAAAGGTTTCAGAATGGTTGGAGGGGCTGTTTGTTTGTGTGTGTTGGAGTGTGTGTTTGCTTCAAGGAAACCCAAGTTCCTCGAGCATTGGCTCACTCTGCACTTTGTACTTAATTGTCTTTCTTAGCAAAGCAGAAGCTGGAGGACAGATTAGCAGCTGCAGCAAGAGAGAAGCTCGCACAGGCCTCCAAAGAATCAAAGGAAAAGCAGCTACAAGCAGAGCGCAAAAGGAAAGCTGCGCTGTTCTTGCAGACCCTGAAGAACCCTCTGGCAGAGGCAGAAACTGAGAAGCTGGAAGAGAATTCCTTCAGCAGTGAGGTAAGCAGGAAATGAAGTTCATTTTACCATAAAGCTAGCAGAAAACCTACCTATGGAGTGTGAATCTGACAGTGTGCTGTGAAGCTGACTGAAGAGAGAGAAGCTTTTCTAAATGGGGAGAAATAGGGATTTTAAACACGGGTAAGCTTTTTCAGTTATCTTACATGTGCCTCTCATCTGTCATTAAAATGGTAGAGAAATACGATGTGCAATTCAGAGGTCAGTTCGCCAGTTACAGAAAGGAAAATGAGCTTGCAAGTTTAACTCTACTAGTGGTCCATCAATTAGATTGCTTACCCTTCAAGACTATTGCAGTATCTGTTCCAATGTTTACTTACTTCATGTGTATTTTGGTTTGAGCAGACGTTTGCCAGCTCAGAAATGATTCACAGACATCTGTGCTTACTTCAAGACTTACATCACGTATTCTGCTGGGTTTTGTCATCTAATTTTTATTCATGTAACTGGCATGACACCGAGATGAATAGTTAGTGAACTGATCTATTTGATTTAAGTTTTCTAGCTGGGACATCCTTAATCAAGGAAACAACTACATAGGTGGGAGGAACGAGGCTGTATTGGTTCTGGTTGCTAGTAACTAGATATTGATGATAACTTAATATTAGGTTTTAGGAACACTATAAAATTCCTAATTAGTTCCATGCTATTTGGCCGTTGGACTATTGTTTCCAAATGCAATTAAAACCTGATTTTTCATATCTGTACGTTGGATTACTAGAATTTACCACAAAGAGGAAGAAGAGGATTTCTCATGCAGGTACCACTGCTAATCACTTAGTCTGCATTATCTTCTGCAGCCAAGAGAACTATTGCTGGTCACTCTGTTGATAAGTGGTTATAATAAAAATACCTTTTTGGGTAGAGCCTCTAGAAATCAGTATTGTAAGACTTACAGGTTTTGAGTAGGAAGGTTAAAGAGGAATCTTGGGCCAAGAGACTTCAGCAGTGAAACTTCAGTAAGGAAATATGAAACCAAACTCTCAAAACCTGTATTGATCAAAGCCACGCATTTCCTATTTTTTTCCTACTAATAAACAGAAATTACTGTTTTAAAATGTCTAAGAAATAACACGTTTCCCACGAACCGTTTCTGATTTCAAGAAAGTAACTGCAATTTTATAAGCCTAAATGAGGGATCTGAATTTATTATATAGGAAAATCCTTCAAATATTGATTTGTTCATGCATCGTAGCACTGTCCTGAACAGGCTTTTCTCCCCATCTGCAGGTTTTGGCAGCAGAGCTGTGTTTTCTATCAAAGTGTCACTTTTCCATTTAAGTTCCTAATAGCTTAGCTTCCTCTACAGAGAAGAATGTGCTGTTTTCCCCCTTGATTTCTGTTCGTTCTTGTTTGGTTTTTTTTTCCCCTTGTTCCAGATATTTCACTGAACCACTCTCTGTTTCTGCCCATATAGTGCATGTCTTAGCTTAAGAAGTGATAATTTTACTTGCAGGAGTTCGCTCACTCTTCTTCAGCCAAAGCGTCACTTTCTCATAAGCACATCCCGATCCAGCGTGGTCTGACACGTACTTGCTAGGAGATAGAGCAGTCTGTTTCCAGCAGCTGCACGGACTTCTCCAGCAAGTCCAGGCAATCCCTTTTCTTAACGGATGAAAGATTGTCAAAATCTGTTTTCAGCAAAGTCACCTTAGACTCGTGTCTTCACTGCGATAGCTGTAACCAGCTGTGGGGAAGAACAAGGAATGGAATTTGGTGTAGACTGGGTAGTTTCCTACAACTTAACCAAAATAGGGGTGGAAATTCATGCAGCTTTGGGATATTGTTGCAGGATCCTTCACAAGCCATCTTGAAGTTTACTGTGTCTGTCTGTATATGCTGCAGTCAGACCTTCTGTGCGCATTGCAGATACCAATATTGTTGGGAAGTAGAACCTCAGTTTCCTGCTTTCAGGATTATGTCACTTCCAGAAAAGCTGGTAAATCCCTCTTGGTTGCACTGCTCAAGCAAAACTGCATCTCTGAGTACTGAAACTTTCAGCTATTGATTTTGGCAGGCTGGTAACAAGAATGAATGACATGGCTTTCAATCGTTTCCTTTCCCACAGAAAGAATGTCAGTACCTAACCAGTAATTCATTGCCCAGTTCTTGATTTTTTCCCAAATAAATCATGAATTTCACCTTCAAAACGCTTCCAAGAGAACGGTCAATTGAGAGACGTACCTGCAGTTCAGGTGATCCATATCAGCTTAGGATAGCAGATGAGTGAATTGAGTGGTCACATCCCCAAAGAGATCCTGTTTGGGGTTCTCATTGCTACTGCTGACAGTCTTTCCCCGACTGACACAAGTGTTCAGTACTTTTTTCCATTTCCATATTGAAGAGTGAATGCAAGACACAATGACAGTGCAAAACTCCCCGGACTTGCAGTTGTGCTCTCCATCTCGGGGGGATTTGACAAGGACACAGATATTTCTCAGCTCAGGATCTTCTGGTATTTTTCTTTAAGGAAACGTCTGTATAACCAGTCACTCCTCAGCAACAGCTGACTCCTCGGAAGAGCAGATGGTGTCCTCACTCACATCTGCACTTACTGAAGTTATGAGCTGAATTCTCTAAAAAAGCGAGTGAAGTTCTCAACAAAATCCACACCCTAATCCTGCTTCTCAGTGAACTTATTTGCTAAAATATTTGTTTTCCTTCTCCCTGTAGTTTCAGAGGAGGCATCTCTCTTCCTCACACACAAAAATCCAGTGTAGTTGAGAAGTTTAAAGCACCCAGTATCACTGATTCTTGCCAGTATAAATGGTTTGGAGGCGCTTTCTTTATAGAAGGGTTTATTTAGCATTTCAAATATATATTTTAATGTTGCTTTTTGAAATAAAATTTACTTTTCTATTGGCAGTGCTTGTACTGTGTTAACGACTAGTGTAAAATGCCATGATGTCTTTGGAAATAATATTCCTCGTAAGTGTAGTTTGCTTATTGACACGTTTGTATTTGTTTAGGTAGATAAACTCCTATAGATTTTCTCCTATAAAAGTTTATTTTGAAACATGAATATGTTTCTAGTTGTGTTTCCACCTGCATTCGTTCCAAGGTGTAATCTGCCTCTTGCTCTGCTTGCCTGGTTTCCCTGTTTGTAACAGCCCATTTGATTCAGAAAATTTTATTGGGAAAAGATATCAGTGAAATCGTATTGCAGGTTTGTTAACCTCTCGTTTATACACTGAGAATCCAGTGAGCTGCATCGTGATATCTCAATCACTTTATAAGTAAATACATAGCACAGGGGTTTTTTGAGCTTTTTCAGTCATGTTTTAGAAACAAAAGGATGCATTCAAAAACACTGATTGCAACAGTAACAAAAAGTAGCTACAGTGGCTGTAATTAAAGTCTGTAACAAAATGTCATGAGAGAGCTAAGTAAAATTAGTTTTGTAGTTTGGCCAATGGAACTAGTTGGGGAAATTTCAGAAAACAAAGAAACAATGAGCTATTTAAGTTCACCAAAAATGTCACTTAACATATTTAGTCTCCCTTTTTGGGGGAAGGAGCACCCAGAGAGGAGTCCAGGAACCAAAGATTGATGTGCAGTGGTCATAGATTTAATGTAGTGCAATTATTTTTATAGCTTAAGATGTGTCTCAAAAGTGGAGTAATGACTGAGGTGAACAATAAAGCCTGAAGAGGAGTTGAGCATGTCCATGAGAGATGCAGCATTCCCGTGAGATTGCCCCTGCCTAATAGCTATATAAAGACCAGTAATGCTGTTTGTGTGTATTCACCGAGTACATTTGTGTGAAAACCCGCTTATCACACTGTGTAGAAATGCATTAAATGAGCAAAGCTTTTTTTGACCTCTGTCAGATTTTCCTGATATCTGGTATTTGTTGAAAGAAATGCTGATACTGAATACATGTTATACCTTTGAACAAAATTGTTTCCACTAACTGGGACAGTCAATACCACAGAACACAGCGCTTTTAAGCTTTTTTAGCTTCAGCTGAATCTTAAAAATAGTCAGATCTACTTTCTCCATAGCTGAATTACTTCTTTTCTATGGCTTCCTGTTTTTCCTTGAAGTGAAATCAACCAAGAGGAACAAAAGGCTGAGAAATGAGCTTGAGCAGTGAAGCAGCACCGCTTCTCACAAAGGGCTCCTCACCACTCCCGCACGCATTACAGCAGCGCAGTTGTGCATAAGATCTCCTCCAAGCAGTGCTTGGAACACGTGGAGCTTAGCTCTGCTTCCAGAACTGATCAGCTGCCAGCAGCCGTGTATCTAGTGAGGTCTGTGCCCATTTTCAGGACATGTGTAAGCAGTAACCGAGTGGCATCTCTCTTCTTGTGTATGTATAATTCACATCGACGCTTTTGTAATGAGAAAACCAGGCCAACTGGCACTGCTGTCAGGCAGTGTTTCAGGAAAGAGGGTTTGCGGTCGTTCCCCAATGAACATTGGGTCTTTGGCCTACAGCAGTGAACAACCTGTGGTTTTAACGAGTGCAGTTCTAGGTACGCACAACTGGAGTATGCCAGGTTATCTGGAGTGCTGCGTTGGAGTGCTTTTTATTTTGAAGCAAATGAAGTAAGGTGTTTCATCATCTGAAAGGCAAACCTTATTCCAAAAGCATTAAAATTAATTTAAATTTTAAAAAATAATACTACCTTTATATGTAAGTAGAATAAAGGCTGGTGGTTGTTCCTATATATATGTACCAAAACCTGAATTAAGCAGATCATCAAAACTTTGGATTTTCCCCAACTCTGTCCATATGAGCAGCGTGGTTCTTAGGTGCATCTGGGAGTAAAGGTCTGAACTAGAGAAAGAAAGAGAATCTGTTGTGGATTCTCCGTCTGTGTGCAGCCAAGCCTCACAGAAGAAAACTGGCATGGTCTGTGTTGCTGCTTAACACTTGCTTAATGTTTTTGTAAACAGTGGTTGGTGATGGCAGCAGGTTATGGGAGTCTGGCAGAGGGAGAATCTAAGCTGCCAAATCATTGCTTCCAGCAGAAAGTTTTGGTAAATGTAATTGGTGTAGGTGAAGTTCTCTCCCTGCTGCTGCTGTCAGAGGAAGGCCGGCAGACCTGCATTCCTTGTCAGAGAAATTGGTGGTGCCTGTTCAAGTCATTTAATCAATGAAGTGTCTCCCAGAACCTGCTGGTGCTGGTAATAGCTGACAGGAACAGGAGCAGGAGCAGGGGCCAGCACTGGCGGCTGCCTCACCAGGGCACCATGTGTGTGACTTCTTCAGTGACGTTACGTGGTGGTGTGCCAGGAGTTCTGCAAGTGTGGTACAGCATGATGTGTCTGAGGGGTTCCTAATACAGATTATCCTGCTAATCTCTTGTATCAGAAATGCTTTAGAGGTGGTAGTACTTTGATACGCGTGTAAAAGACCCGAACTGTTATCTGTATAAACCATAGCATTGGATTTAAACAAGGAGAGAAATCCACAGCCCTACTGCTGCAAAACCAGACAAGCACACGATTTGAAACTAACTCTATTTTAATGGCTTGTCCCAAACATCATCTGCTGTTGTGCCTCTGAATATAAAGATCCTGTAGCACAAAGCAAACCTTAACTTCTTCTGGCTCTTTCATCTTCCCTCTTTTGAAGCTGTGTTTAATCGTTTTTCTTTAGATGCCTTGTCCTTACTTTTGTCCTGTATGTAACAATTTTTATTTTCCCTGTGGAAAGCAGTCTGTTTACAAGTGAAACAGAAGTGTGCCATGTTTAAAAATAAAATGCTATTCAAGCTTTGCCAAGCATAACATGGTTGTCAAAACCAGATAGTGTACGGCTATCACACTTCCTGCTGGAGCTGATCCTGCTTTTTTAGTAATGGACTGTAGGAATTACATGCATGCCCCTTTGGAATAATAGTGGAACATAATTTGCAACATAATTTTATATTTGCATGTTTTCTTAATGTTAATTTGTGAGCAAAATGTAATTATCTAATGAAAACTGTCCAATAAGTATTTAAAGAAAAAATGCCTTAGAATATTTCAGGGCCGTTCATTTCTTACTTCACCCTTTTTTCCCCTGGAATACAGGTATCTGTATCTCCAGTTTAGGGTGGTGGAGGGATGTGTGTGTATTTGTTTGTACATTTCCCTTCTCTCACTTTCTCAGAAGAACAGATAAAAACATAAAACAGAAGTCACACACTGATGTGGCATTTGGGGTTGGATAGCTTGCTGCCATTTGGAACCTCTTACGGCAAGAATCCTGTGTCAAAAACTACGTGAGAGTTGTAATTCCTCATGCTGTAAATACTTTAATGTTTAATAGGAAGGGCGAAAGGTAACTGTGAGGAACTGCCATCTTAATTAAGTTAGGTGAGGGAGCTAAGCATGTTCTGTGCCGTGATTTTCAGTCTTCAGAGTGCTCAAGATGCAAAGGCGAAACATCTGGATTCACAGCCACTCCTTTCTCTGCAGTTGGCCCCTGAAAACTGGGAATGCAAAGTCCAGTTTTTGAAGAGCTGACCCTGGTCAGTGTCCTGGAAATAGCTCTATTCAGTGCAGCAGCTGAACCCTGATGGAGCTGTTGAGTACTGACGGTTTTATTCTAGAGGAATTTATTCTCTAAGCGATGGTTTTATCACTTCTGTTTAATCATTTTGGGCCGATTTGTTGAGTCTAGGACTGAGAAACTTCTCAAAGCAGTAACTGCTTGCTGATGCCCAGAGCAATCCTACACTTCATTGCTGGTAGACACTTGCTTACTAATTCTCAGTCCAGGAATACTTCACCAGCAGCTTTGAAGAACCCATGGCAAAAAAGGTGCAGTGCTGGAATCTGCAGTAGTTTCAGATTTTGATGAAGTAAAAGAAGCTGGTGATGAACTCTTCATAGTTCTGACATTCTTCACTCTTTCTAATTTTGGTCTGAGATAGGGTCCAAACTACGGCAAAATTCAACTGCTCGGAACAGAGGAAATAGTGGCCAGTTGTGAAGCTGTTAGTACCATTATTGATAACGTTTTTTACCAGTTGATTTTGTTTGTACTGGGAACAACGCCAGCGTTTTGTTCTGCTGTAATGAGCACCTTTTGGTTCACTGCTAACGCTGGCTTTGTGTATTGATTAAATAATGTAACCCCAGAACAACAAACGTGTGTTCTGGTCTTAGGAATACTGCAGATAACCAAATGCCTTGTACCGAACTGAAGTGCTTGTTTCTGTCCTTGTATAGTTATTAATTCTTCCTGATAGGCACTAAGACAGTTTATTTTTTTCAAAATATTTTTAATTGGCAGCAATATTTCTACACCTAGCTGTTTTCTTTGTGGCCTGTCAACTTGCTGGTGTTAGGGTCTTTCACTGAGCTCTGTGTGCTCTGATGGTGAGGAATCGGGTCACTTTGCTGGTGATTTTGCTCTCGAAAGCAGGCAGAGTTGTTCCCAGCAGATCCTGCTCTTGGGACCTGACAATCTGTCACCTGAGCTGTGGTCACAGTGGTGCGTGGTGTAGGTTTGGCTGGGTAGGTGACGTCTCCCTGCGTGTCAGCTCTTCTCTTGCTCTCCAGGACCTACACATTCACTTGGGGGTGGCTGGAGTTATTTCTCTGTGGCTTTCCAAATGTGATTCGTTGGTGACCTGGATCTGCAGCCAGGCAGCCTGCAGCTGTGCCTTTCTCAGATACCTGAACAGTGCTGAGCATTCTGAAAGTCAAGGAAAGCCCACGGTTCCAGCATCCAGTGCCTTTGGTGGGTACCTAGGGGTGCTTAGTGTCGTGGGTTTTTTGTTCTGAGTGCTGAGAGAATCTCTCCACGTGAGCTGAAGGTAAATGTGTCATTCATTTATTGACTTCCTTTTAGGCAGTGGTATGATGGCTTGTGTTTAATGCAGCCAAATGAACTTGGGCACTAAAAACCGTTGGGTTTTCTGCCTCTCTTGTTTTCCTCTTAACTGTACTTTGCCTACAGCTATTTTGTTTCAAGCTATTAGAGGTGTCTACTTCAAGGCAATCTGGTCTGTTACATATTCAGTAGTGTTCAAAGCGAAGACTCAGATACTGTATAAAGAGATGGATAACATTGACAAGGAACAAAAGTCAGCTGCAGTGGCCTCTTAGGAAACTGAAGACTGGAGATGAGGTGTCTGCAGTTACACATGGATTGTGAAGTTAGTGAAATTGGAAATGGGCCTCTGGTCAACCAGTCACTGAAATCATCGTGCTATAACATTTATAATCTTTGAAGTAAACTACTTTAGTAGTGCTCTATTGTTATATTTACAAGTAGTGTGATAGCAGTTATCAGTTAAAGCTTGGAAAGTGTCGTGACTAACTTGAAGCAAAGCTGGATTTCCAGTTATTCAAATGTGGTCAATTATTGCCTTGACATATTCACGTATTCACAGTAGGAGAAGAAAAAAAGAAGAAAGGAAAAGATCACCTGTTTCTAATTTGGTTATTTCAGGTGTTAATGTGTTGCTTTCTATTCTGGTCACGATGAGCATCCTTTGTCAAACAGTGGAAGTGTCAGGCCAGGTGGAACAGAAATTATGACGGGGGAACTGATTGCTCCCGTTGCCTTGAAATGGCAGCTGGGAGAATGACAGGCTTTGAAATGAGGAGCGTATCCATAGCGCCTGACTTGAATTGTTCCAAACAAGGTATTGAGCAAAATCCTCTCAGGTACAAGCTGATAATTGGAAATTTTCTTGGAGTATGGTATGTTTTGCTTAACTGACTGCAGTCAGAATTACCGGCTGATCATGAATTGTGCGTGGACCTGTTCTGTCTTTGAGATTAATCATTTTTGTCATCTTGCCAACCCTTTACATGCAACACATTTATTTTTGCAAAGTACGGAAATAATTTCTATCAGCACTAATTCATTTTGCTGTTTTCCTTGAGGTTGTAATCTAAACAGCACGGTTCGAGGATGAAGGTGACTTCCAGACTTAACTTTGAATGTCAGTAGTTGCTGATTGTATTTTTAGGTTTATCCCTTTTTAAATAAAAGGAGATAAATAGATGAAAAGCTATCTGATAGTACTCATTTTTTGAGAACACGTTTCTTCTACAAACTAAAGATGAAAACTTCAGAACTGTGTCCTAGTTAAGCTGACAGTCTTAGCACGCATATCCCAACCTTGCATATGTATCTTTGGGGAGCTGTATAGGTGTCCATTAAATCCTACTGGATGTGCATGCTTTACAAAATACTGATGCAACACTGAGGTTTTAAAGCAATTTTTGGGAGGTTAGATGTACATTGTATATTGTTGAGACTACTGAGCAGAATATCCTACGTTTCTTTGCTATGAAGTGCACGTATGTGGCATGCACAGGAGTAGATGTAGCCCTCTGTGTAGTATAAAAACCTAGAGATGCTTGTGTTGTCTATGTTTATAGGACTTGCTCAAATTGAAAATTTGCATACAGCTTTGAAAACTGAATGTTCTTTGTTTGCCTTTGGTTGCAGAGTGTCAATAGTATACCGTGTCCTGTGACCGCGGTCAGAACTTTGCCCACCTTAGAAGTTAAACAAGCAGAAAGGCCTTCAAGCAGAAGCAGAGATCCTCCTAGGGAAGAAGAAAAAGAAAAGAAAAGGAAAAAGCACAAGAAAAGGTCTCGGACAAGATCTCGATCACCGTTCAAGTATCACTCGTCATCCAAGTCCAGAGCTAGATCCCATTCAAAAGCAAAGCACTCGCTCCCCACTGCCTACAGAACTGTGAGGCACTCAAGGTGGGTTTGGAAAGCAAACGTGGTCTTTAGAGTTCTGTGTGTGCTAACGCTTAACCTGGTTTTGCACTTCTTCATGCCCATTACAAAGCATGTAGTCACCCTGAAGACAGTGGATAAATATCATCAAATGTGGAAGATCTTTGAAATTTGTTTTAATGAAATAACAAATCATTAATTTCTAATTACATAGTGCAAAATTTGTACCGGTAAATGCTTTTTCACTCTGATCTGTGAAATACCTGGTGATAATATGTAGGAGGTGTGATTATAGCAGGAAGAGATTAAGTCTGTAGCTGTTGCTGGAGTAAAGTAACCAGACAATATTAAGATACGAAATAGAGGTATAGAATTGAGTGGTTGAACAGCAAAGCTCAGACAGAAAGGAAGTTGGGTAGCGTGTGGAAAAAATATGATGGGTGAATGGCAGGAGAGAGAGGGCAGGAATCCGAGAAGGGTGAAACTGGAGTTGAAGAGGAAGGGAGACCATAGAAAAATGTAACCCAATGCAGTTAACTCATCATTAATGAGATTAAATTCACTGTATTAATTATCTAGCTATAAAATGATACATACTATGTTTATATTAATACTGTTAATTACTTCTAAGACATTTGGGTCTAGACACCTCTGTAAAATCTGTCATACCTGAATGGCCTGCCCCATGGTAGTTATTGTGGTCAGTAGGAAGGGCTTATTCTTCACATGGCATTCTCTGGATCTGCTTTTTTTTTGTTTAACAGCCTAACTACACTGATAAGAGGAAATGTTAACACATTACAACTTGTTATTTTATACTAGATTGTTAAGATTAAATACAATACTGTGCTGACAACATCTCTCCTATTCAGAGATGCAGTTCATTTAAACGAACATAGCTTGGGCTGCAGCAGTCAGTCTGATGTGCTGCATATTTCACTGCCTTTGACAGTAGATGTGGTCATGATGCTCGTGTTGGGAGGCACATTCCAAAATACTGGGGGCCTTTTCTGCCTGTAAAGGGAATGCTGCTGAATGCAGCTTTCCTTGTGTAAGAAGGGAATGCAAGTCTTCGAGAGTTAAGGATATCTTGGGGAAAAGTCATCCCAGGTGAATCACTTATCTTGTCAACTCCCTGTCAAGCCATGTATTTTTATCTATGATTTTACTGATACATGGTAATAACAAGGAGAAACATCATAGTAATGCTAAAATAGAAGACTAAGTTGTCTTCTGTGGTACCTCGAAAAGGACAGAGAATCATCTGAGGAGATCCTTACCACTACTTGGGTATGCTGCTTAATAGGATAAAGATAATGTAGCATGTGGTTGCATCACACAGTAACCTGATCAATGGGAACTTGCAAGTTCAGTTTGATGTACACTGAGATACGGCTTCAGGGAGATAAGATATCTGGTCCTTCATAGAGACTCGAATACTTCCACCAGCTGCTCTCCCTTTGGAGTTTTTGTTGGGCTTTTTTGGTGACATAGTTCAGCTGGCGGAGAAATTGCCCAAAAAGCACCAAGAATGTTTCACAAGCACATGGCTCAGTCTAAACCTCTGCCGAGGACCTCTTGTAATTCAACTGTAATGAATACCTTCCTGCTGCTTCTGATACTGAATACAGTGACTGTATTGGTTTGGTTTAATCAGTGAAGAGGAGCAGGATGCACCGAGTGTCTCCTCATCTGGAAGATGTTGTTGTGTTTGCCCTCAGCTAGAGTGCCCTGTCCAGTTCTGTGCATCCTTCGGAAGGAACTAGAGCAGCTGCAGGAAGCTCAGAGGCAATCATCAAGAGTATTAAGAAAAAGAGGTGGAAAGGCTGATTGGGCAGACAGAAGGAAGATGAAATGAATCTCCATGTGCGCCAAAAAAGAGGGAATGGAACGTTCTTTTTCAGTCCTTGGGGTTTGTGCAATGAGTAATGGATATAAATTAATTACAGAGACACTGGAAAGCTTTTCATACTGACTCAGTGCTAAGGGTGCTTAATACAGCTTCCTCCACTGTGGGAAGTCTCTGTATCAAGAGTTACAGCTTGGAGACTACTCAATAGTCCTATTTCTTCAAGCCTTTTCTAGCCCTGCCTTTCTTATTAGGGTACACATGGTCTCACTTTGTACAAGAAATGGTGGTGATTGAAGGTTTGCTTTATTGGAAGTGTTTGCTACACCTTAACATACTCACTGTATTTCCAAAATTCAAGCTCTTGCTCCTGAAACCAGAAAACTGTGGAGTAATCCAGAATGGGGCGCTGATTCATAGCGCAGTCAGATCCTGATGTCTGTTGTCCCTCGAGCGTTCAGGTGAAAGTAAGGGCTGAGTAATTGCCAAAACCAGGCAAATGTTGTTGCCTAGCTAGGAGATAGGACCATTTTTCTTTCCTTTTTTAGTTATTTATGTATTTAGTGTCGATTCAGAGAAAGTTATTTCTGTGCGCTGTCGTGTCTCATTCAAAACATGGCACCTTCCCCACCTCTCTGCTCTTCGGTTTTTCCAGTGCTTCACCTGTTATTACAGCTTAGTGGTGAATGAACAGTTATGTAAATGTGGAGGTTAGAGACGGCTTTATTGTGTGGACATTGGTGCTAAATTGTACTGGAACATCCCTGTTTTGAGTAACTGCGCTTTATTTGAATGTCTCAGTCTAATGTTACATGTCTGAGATTTCATTGCCTTATTTTATCCTGTTCAAAGTGTATATTCTGACCTACAGATCTCAACATAAAGTGGTTATTGGTTCTTTATTTTACCCCAGGAGTGGACTGAAAAAACCTGTAGTAATTACTGCTCCAGTTCCTGTTAATCAAATAATTAAGAATAACAAACAAGATCGTTCTCCTATTAAGCAAACTTTCACAACTTTCTTAGGGAGTAGCTTATTAGGTTTGATGTATCTGCACAGTGAAAATAAGTGTTTTGGATTTGAAGTTGTTTAAACTGTTATGTCGAAATTAACCGTGACAGCCCAAAGAGGAGCTGTGCTCACTTCATAGTTTTTCATTAGACTCTGTTGCACTCAGATGATAATGAGTTGTGATAATGGCCACTCAAGATGTGCCCTGTGTTTGGGGAACGGCCTTAAAACCTTAGATTCTGTGAGGTTTCATGTAGACATCACTTGAACTTCTGCTTAAAAACACTTGGAGGAGATGCTATTTAGTAGTGTGAGTTGTTTCAAAAAGTAAGATTAAAAATCAGCGTTACCGTGTAACTTATAGTGACAAGTGGGCAGGGATGAGACGTGGGGAGTGAAGCTAAACACAGAAATTTGCAGTAACTTCCATTGCTGTTTATTCAAGTGATGTTCAAGATACCTTTCAAACTCTTATTTTTTTGGGTGTATCTTAGTGGTTTTTTATTCCAAAATGCGTATTGTGCTTAGAAGTCCTATAGGTGAACTTTGCAATATACTTCTCTGTGTACCATTTTATATCGCTTGTTTATCATTTATTTTTGCATTGTTAGAGATCTAGAGGCTCTGCTTCATTTAGAAATAGTCTTTGGTGGTGAGATAAAATTGCTGTCCTCTTGCATTTTTGTCGTATTTTCTAATGCATCTTCAGCACTGTTAAAGTGGAAAAGTTCTGTTCTAGTAATATCAAGTTGATTCACAGTGTATTTTGGATCTGTATTTTTCTGGGTAGCACAAACCAACCTGTTTTTAAGAAACAAGTTTAAAAAACGGTAGCTCTGTAAGGATCCCAGATATATTGGCTTAACTGTGGCATGCGGTGTGCTAGCAGCAATTCTCCATATAAATGTATGTTGTTTTCCTGGCCAGAATGAGTCCCCTAAAGCTCCTGGTGTGGTACAGTTTTAATTATAGACCAAGATGACAGAGTAAAGTTAACAAAAGTCATGGACACAGTAAACCGTGTCCAAAAGCGCTGTAAGGTGTTGCAGTGACTTGCTTTGGAGCTGTCAGTCCTAAAGAGATCATCACTTGTAGAGGCAAAGATGGGGCACATCTGTTAAATCTGCCTTGGAAAACAAACAGCTTTTGGTCATCTGTAGTAGATGCTTCATCAGTGTCTTTCTAATCGACTTCAGAGCCCCATTAAAAGTTTGGTGTGAGGTGTCCCTGCAGCTGTGCTCTCCACAGCAGCACAGGGACACATTGGGATTCAGAGCTGGTCGGCGCTCAGTGTAAATGATGACCACGTTCAGCTGAATCTCTGGTTTCTACCAGTAGATCCTGGTAGTAGTGATCTAAGCTAATGATGTGTTTGTGTGCGTGAGTGTGGGGGGTGTGTGTGAAAGGAGAAGAAGGGAAGCAGAGGTGCTCGTTATGTACCCAATGATTCAGTGATTTAGGTGAAATTTGGGTGTTTTGAACTACAGCAGATGTAGGAAGTCTGAACTTCTCTTTGGTATTGATTGTTTTTCTTTGTATTGTCTAGTGATGGAGTAGTACTAAAGCAGGTCATTCGTCCAGTTAATGATTTATAAACAGTAATTAGTAGTGGCATACATTACAGACATTTTCAGTAAGTTTGGATAGAGTGCACCTAAGTGTGTGTTCGTGTGAGGCTTTTTGCCTCAGTATTAGAAATTTAAGAGACTTGGAAGTAGCTTTCTCCTGTAAAAATGGTTGCTTGGGGTTTTTTTTCCCTCCTTCCGAACTGATTTTCTCACTGCTGAGGCAGTGTCTGTTCACTTTTAATTCCTATTTTGTAATGAGGCGTGCCAGGCTTCATAACCCTTTGAACTTTTGGGACTGTGCTAAACACGGGTGATACTGATTTCAAAGGAATGGAATGCCTTTTGAAATAAGACTCTACTGAAAGTAATAGTTGGTGTATTGCAGTGAAACTGTTAAGCTGGTTCTAATTGTTTGAGGCTAATGGCCAAAGTTCTTAACATTTGGTGACTGGGAGAATGTTGTAGAACCACAAAAGCCAGCTCATAAGAATGAAGCTAATGCCTTTTTCTTTCTGATTGGACTTTTTTTAGGCCGGTCCATATAGACATGTTTCACTAAGGTTCAGCTTTTGGTTAAGGGCCTGAGCCTTTTCAGGAGTCTAGTTAATAACCAAAGTAGCGCATTTAATTCTGCATGTGAAGTGTGTGCCTCCGTATCCCAGCCTCACAGCATCCGCAGGGACACTGAGCGTGGAGCCGGGTCTGCGCAGCTCATCAGTGGCAGCAGCAGCAGAGCGGGGAAGTTATCAGGCAACTTGGACAACGAAAAGAGTTGACTGCTGGAGCTCTTGTGAGGGACATCCTGGTAAAATGGCAAGGTGTCTGACTGACCCCAAACTTCACCATCTGTTGGGTTGCTTCCTTTTGTAATCCTTCTGAATGGCCTGGTAAAGATCAGATTTCTAAGAGACAAAGCAGTTAATTTGCACCACTTAACTGCCATTGTGATTACTTTTTTCATTTTGCAGTTGATCTCTTGTTGTAGGTGTAAAAGAAACGGCTCCAGGAGCGTGTGTGTTGATCTCTGATCTTAACTGGGCATGCTTTCTCTTTCTCCTCTCTTTCTGTCTTTCACTTTTTTTAGAAAAATCTCTCAAGTCAAAGTGCTAGTGCCAATAACGCCGATGATGTTGTTGGTGACTTGCACAGGTGGAAATATTGGCTGTGCTGGGATTACTCTGCAGCAGCAGGGACAAAATTTCCTGGACTTGTCAGTGTTGGAGATGTGCTGAAAACAAAAACTTGTGTTTATCTCTGGGATGCAGCAGTTCTAAAAACACACCACTCATTTGAGAGACAAAGTCCCAGGCTTGGAGCCAAATATCTGCGTATCAATGTTGGTGAACTCTGTTGCCACAAAAGGTGACTGGACTAAAGTAAAACTTTCCTGCCTGCCAATACACAAGTTGATATTACCACAAAATACCAAAAAATAATTGCTTTCCCCCCCCACTCTGTTGGGAGTGAAAAGCAGTGGAGAACTACATCCTAAATGTCTTGAATGGGTAAGAAAGTTTTATGCAGCTGACAAGTCTTGGAGACTGAATGGCCCGTGTTGGTATGAAATAGCATTTGAAAGGTGTTACATTTGCATATGGTCACAGCACCATTGCACTGAAGTAAAAGCACTGACATAAGTAACAAGAAGCAAACTTACGGAGGGTTTTCTCCTGCTCAGGTCACGATCGAGGTCACCCAGGAGAAGGGCTCACACCCCAGAAAGGCGGAGGGATGAGAGAAGTGTCCCAACAGCGTACCGCATCAGCAACAGCCCTGGGAACAGCAGGAAGCGCCCCCGTTCCAAGTGAGTGTACCTGGCCCTGGCGTCGGAAGGGACTTTCAACATTGCCCGATGGGTTGTGTGCTCCCCAGGCGGAACTGAGGTTTTTCTGTCCTGGAGCTTTGTTTTAATAGACTGAAGTAGGAATCAAGAGGTGCCTTTTTTGAGAGCACCTTGCCTATATTCGCTCTGAACCTATTCTAATTGAAATGGCATACCAACCATTAGTTCATCTCACCAATTATAGAAGGAAAACATCTGCAAAGTGTGTGCCCAGACAGCTTTGAAATGTCTTGTGTCTCTAATATTCTGTGGCATGTTGTGTCTCCAACATGCAAGGAAGTGACCGTTTTTCATGCTTGTATGTATGCACCTAAAGTGAACACAGAACCCAACACCCTGAAGTTACTGAACTGAGCATACTTAATTATTCTTCTCATTGATGAAGATGTAATCCTTAACCTGTTTTTCCCTATATTTTGTGGAATAAGAGGCAAACAGATCACTTTAAACTTGGATTATTAAAAAAATTTCAATTGTTTCTTCAGATAACTTTCCATCCCTTGACAGCCTCTAATTAACTGATGTGTGGTAGGTATAATTGAGAACTTCATCAGTAGACTTCAGCTGATTCAGTTTTTCGCGTTCATCAACTCGAGATAATAGAGGCTTCTGTGGAATTCAGCAGCAAATTCGGTTAAGTAGAAAAGATACGGAATCTTAAAATATTTTTCTTCCTGTAAACACGCACAAGAGTTTTTTCACACCCTGTGCTATTTTTAATGCAGTGTTGGTGTGTCCGCTGCTTGGCCATTCAGCATTTTCAGCTCTGTATTACTTGTAGAGTTGTGCCACTCCGAGTGGTAAATTACGACGACAGTTGTGAAACAAACTACATTCCTCTTTAATCAGTATTGTTTGTATAGGTGGAAAGTGTTAGACCTCAAACAGGAAAAGGGAATGCTAAACAACAAAATATGGCAGTAACTGTAAAAAATGTAGACTGAAGAAAGAATATTGTATTTAAACATAGATGAGGTTGGTTTGCAGCGGTGATTGCCAAAAGCCTCCTGTTTCAGCCCTGATAGGACTGCCAGGTTACATTTTCAGGTAAAACGTAGATGCTGCGATGGACCAGTTTTCATGTTCAGTTATGGAGCAGATGTGCACAGTGGTGTAATGGTCTGATAAAAGCAAAGTAGTTGAGCTTTCTATGAGCGAGTAGTGTGTATTTTGCCTGATAGCTCAGAGCAGGTTTCAATCTTACATGGCAGCAGCCATCTGAGTGGTGTTTATTAACCACAGTCACACTAAGTAGGCAAGCTTTGGAATCTAATACTGTCAAAGGATTGAAAATCAGAATTGATAAACACTGCAATGTGTTAAACTTGCTCAGGGCATTAATCTGATATCAGTAGTTGAATGGGGAACATTGCTTGTACATTTTTAGGTTTGTTTTCAGAAGAAAATATGTAAGACCTAGGAAGCTATGCTTTACCTTGTCTTGTCTGGGAATTACAGGCTCACTGCTTGTAGAATGAGATGTACTTCAGAATAAATACAGCAGTTGTTTTTTCTTCTGCTTGTGCTGTACCTCAGTTGCCAACATAGTCACTTTAAGAAGAAGTCTAATGTAAATTAGTGTTTTAATCTGACTACAGTGCATTACTTTCCACAGAGAATACAGTTCTTTCATGCTAGCTTTTGTACCTAGACAAATACTTAAAAATAAACCTAGTTTTAGCAAATGGACTGTTCTAAAAATAGGCAATTGGTAGGCACATTCATTCAGCTGTTATGATGCTTGTTCGTCATAATCTGAGATGAACAACACTGGAAAAGCTTTCTGTAAATAGTCGCATGGTGAATGTTGGCTGAGATGTTTAAGAGTTAAGTATGAAATATGCTCACAGCTTGATTACATTGCGATGCTTTAAGAAAATGAGCAATTACAATACATAATGAGCTAGTCAAGGAATAACTGACTTTGTAGCTGATGTGTTTTGTATAGTCATGAAAATGTTAGAGGCCAGCAGAGCTGTGGGGTTTTTCTTCTGCCACTTAATGATTATTTACGCAAGAAAAGCGTAAGGAGGTTTTGCGATTTTAAGTCTTGAATGTTAAATTCTACGTGAAAATCAGGTATTGGTATGATAAGTTCTAAGTATTAGAGGTGTGCAGTATTTATATGGGAATTTAATAAGTGATAGCGTAGCTGCCTTTAAAGTAGCAAATTCCTAAGAAACCAAAAATAAAGGAAGCTATAACATGATACTTAAAAGATGGCTCAAAGTTTTGCAGTGTTTTCAGGTGTTCTAGAAGCTTCAACAGCACTTGTGAATAGACTTCTAGCAGTGCATGCTGGAGAGAAATGCCTGCAATGAGGTATTGCCTAACTAGTTAAGGCATTACTCCAGTAATTCTAATTGCAGTAACACAAATACTGGTATGTAAATCATGCAGAAATAAATTCATAGCTATTTATAAAGATTTGGATAGTTCCATCTCCAGTATATATAAAGAGGATTTAATTCTCTTTGAGCTCAATATTGCATAGGAGGAGGCTGCCTCTGTTTCCCCCGTCTGTCAGTAATGAACTCATCAAGTGCCCGTAAGTCCTCGGTTCCAGGTCTCAGAGTGGCAAATGTTTGTGTCTCATTTCCAGGTCACGGTTTGCACTTAAAACGTGTTGCTAGGCCTAGGTTTGTTTTAGGGGCATACAAAAGCTTGTCTATCATTTTGAGCCTGTGGTTTGTTGCATTGGATCACAAGGAAAGGAGTAACTTTCTTTTAAAAAGCAGACAAACCATGGATTTGCCTTGTAGATCTTTCACACAGCTGTGATTCCATGGTTTGCTCATTTACAAGCTAGGGAAATTGTAAGGGATCCAAACTCTTACATTTCCCATTATATTCCAAGTGTCTGATGTTCTTTGGGAAGGAACTTCCCTCTAGCAAAGTTATTCTGCAAAATCTCCAATGAGAGACCTTTCAGTGGTACCCTTCAAACTATCAATGTGTAATTCCTGTGTACCCATGGAGCAGTGTTCCAAGTGAGAACCTCAGGGACTAGTAGTTGCCTAATGTAATATGTTAAAAAGCACTTCTGAGAAGGTACTTTGCACAACAATAGAAGTGAAGTACTGGGTCAAGACTCTAATGCTTGCTGAGTGCATGAGAAGTATCCTGTGGAAGAGGGCTACATAAGCTTTTAGGAGTGTGAACACTAACTTCAACTGAGCTCATGTAATACTGCTTCAAATATCCTTCCATTTTATTTATTTTTTTTCCGCAGAAGTCCCCATGAAAAGAAGAAGAAGAGGCGGTCTAGATCACGTACCAAGTCCAAAGCTAGATCTCCTTCACCATCCGTGTCACCAGGCAAACCATCCACACACAAAAACTCTGTACATTCGACTAGTGTCTCTCCTGTGGAGAGCAGGGAATCCAGCCAGGAACGCTCCAGGTAATGGGCTCTTTTCCTGTCACACTGCACTGCTGATATCCCTTGGCTGCGAGTGTCTTTTGACCTAACCTGTGTGGTGAGGAGCTCTGTGTGTGCAACGTGTGCGTATTAAAAGTAGAGGACAGCACCAAACATCAGTTTAATGAAGACATTAGGTCTCTGTTGCCTGCTGGAGTAAACATCTCAACATACTTTTACAGTAAAACTGGTGCAGAAAATTCTGCAACCTAATTCTACATTAGAAATTGGAAACTCACTAAATGGGATAACTCTTTGAAGTAGAATTTTAATAGAGCGGTTTGAATTGTAATGTGTGTGCAAGATTCATAATTCAGTTATTTCTACGGAATATAGAACAGTCCTGTTAAAAATTCCTCTGCCGTTCAGATTCCTATCAGTTGTACGAGTGACTCTTCTGACTGACTTACGGCTTCTGGTTGACTGAGAGAACTGTTGACTAACATGAGAGATTTGGGCAATAAAACCAGAAATCGCCATCGAGAGTGAAATGCATTTTTTTAAACATTTACTATAAATTTCCAATTCTAATTTTGCTTTTTTAGGGGAGTTTCTCAGGAAAAAGATGGCCAAATCTCTTCAGCAATTGTGTCTTCAGTGCAGAGTAAAATCACTCAGGTACAAATTCAAAAAATCATCGTATATTGCCTAATGAAGCGTGCCCCTCATATCGTTTTCTTCTCTTAGTACCTTGTACAATTCCGAGCTTTGCATATGATGTAGAGACGTGTTTGTTGTCATTCTTAATCTGTTTGCTTAAAAGGAACACAGTTTTGTTCCTTCTCCAGCTACTGTCTGTTCAAATTTAATCAAGCCTCTAAAGACCAAGCTAAATTCATGATGCTGCAGTATATCCTGTTAAGATAAGGAAGTCCACATGATGCTACAATACCCCGGTTACCCATAGCAAGTATTACTGGGAGCAGGTGTTACTACACTATGTAGTGCTCTTAAGTTTCGTGGAAGAAAGGTGAAGGAGAAATAACCTTGGCAAAGGCTAAATTTGTAGTGTTGGCAGCAGAGGAAAAACACTCTTGCAAACTGAAGTAAGTATGTGCTTTGCATTAAGCAGCATCTTCAACTCACTTGGCTTTCCCTTGCCGCTGTTTATTTCTCTGAACTTTTGTTGTTATGACTTTGTTGATACATCGAAGTTTGCTGTGAATCAAGTATGTACCTCTGGATGCTGTGCAATAACCTAAATGCATTCAGCTTCCCTAGCAGTTTTAAGATACCCAACCTCTGTCAAAATAATTGTGTTAGTTTTTTAAAAGCTACTGCATGGTGTCTCTCTTCAAAAATTTTAATTTAACTCATACTGTTCGTCTTCGTGCGTATTTACCTTTCTTTTAATCAAATATGCCAACTTGAGAGGAAGAAAGCTCCTAATTATGCTTTGGAAAATTTACAGTATAAAATCAGACTTGCTTTTTGTATTCTTATTTTCTTCAGTGGATGGATTATTCTTTCCATAAATTAATATTGTTCAAAGATTTAGTTCCACCAGGGAAATGGTGATAGTTCAGAATTAATACTAGTAGGCTAGTACCTTACATACCATATTTGATCTGGTTTTTATGAGAAACCCCAAAAATAGAATATTCAGGAAAATAGAAAATAGCACGTATAGTCACCGGAGAAAGAAAATGGAGAATTAACACCATAGCACTTCTTGGGCTACCGAAGAAATGCGTGGAAATTCCTTGTGTGAGAAATGATGTGAACTACATCATGGTCCTCAAAGAAGAGGAAGCCTCCCACCCTTTAAAACTGCACATTTCATCTGCACTCAGATGACAGCAATAGGTTCATGCATTTCTTGGGTTAAATATTGCTTATGGCACAGCATTTGCTAGTTTATTTTATTAGTACTAGTCTGCTTGCTTGGAGTGTAGCTGCAAGAGGATGAAGGTTACTAGTTCTGGCCACCGACTTCCAGTGCAGTTTAAACACCTCTGAGGAATAGCTCCCAAATCATAAAAATCCACTTCTTAGTTACAGTCTGCTAAAAGTAAAATAGAGGAATGAAACTTTTGTGAATCTGCAAGCTATTTCCCAACACAGATTGGTTTAGCATCTTTTTATCTTTGAGGGCCCAAAGAAATGTAATTTACCTAATTATTAGTCAGATAATTTTGCTGCCAGTGTGCTGGCTGACCTTGACCAATTCAGTATTTTTTCTCATTAAAATCCTTCCATCTGTAAAGTGGAATAATGATGCTGGATTCCCCTGTGAAGTGTTTTGAGAGCTTCAGATGAAAAACGCTTTAAAAGAACTGAGAGTTTTAATTCATTTGTGTTGCGTTTGTGAAGAAATGTTTTAAGTAACTTTAATTCATTACTGATACACACTTCTTATTTTTGTGATCATTTTTTGCAACCCAATTATTTGATGCCGTTTGCAGGAAACCTCATTTCCTTTTGCAGTGCTGTTCCCACTGGATACGAGATGGAGAGTTGCTGTTTGGTTTCACAACACTCTTAATGTTTCATAAGTGAAAATACCACTGCCATGTAAATTTTTGGTCCAGGTTTACAAAGCTAACAAAAAAAGCTTTTTGTTACTGGGTAATTGTTGGTGCTTTCTTCTTAGCAGCTTGCTCTTTATTCTTTCCTTTTTTTAAACCTCGGTGTTCGTAGTCGTGAGTTCATTACGGTTTTTGTGAAGATATGGTCCTCGTTTCTCTCCATTCCAGTTAAGGCGATTTCTGTGTGTTGGTGTGCAGAAACTGCTCCAAATACGCAGAGTACTTTGTAGTTGTAGTAAAAACAGACTTCAGGAGCATCAGGAACTGTCCTAGGAACATTCTCCAGTTATTCCAGTCGTTAGCCTAGGGACTCCTGTATCTGGTGATCATGCACGTAAGTATTCTGTGTGGCTGGAGCATAAGCTCACCCTTCCATAGGCTCATTATGGTTGAAAAAGGCTTTCAAGATCAAGTCCAATCACTTGTGCAGGTTTGTGCAATCACACGCTTTAGCTCTGCTCAAATCCCACACACTTCTGATCGTTTTCCTTTTATTTTCTACAGGATCTTATGGCCAAAGTGAGAGCAATGCTTGCAGCTTCCAAAAACATACAAACTACCAGTGCCTCCTGAGACCTGTTGAACTGACCACCGAGGAATCGTGTGAAAAAGAACAATATAAAAAACTGCCTCATCTCAAACGTACAGTTGAGCTTAGCTCGCTTGGTTCACAGCTCGTCTAGTATTACCAGAACTCGAGGAGCTAAATCCTGTACAGAAGCGTCTCCTTGAAATTTCATTAAACTTTTTCAGCCAGAATACCTTTGGGAAGTTTTTGGTTTTTGTAAATTGATTTTTTGACTAATTCTTCAGTAACATTTTATGATCAGCGGTCTATATGTGTATATTTGTAAATACCATGTTTCTGTGAAAGAAGTATTACACAATAATAAAGGAAACATCTTTCATTAGCTGGAGTTCTTGTGGAGTCCTTAATTGTTTGCGGTTGACTTTTGTTACGGATTAGTCTTCTTATTCTTTAGTACTTTCTGCCTTTTAAAATAGCTCTGTAGGCTGCCTGACCACCTTAAGCTGAGAAGCACTTTTTGTCTTCCATCATGCACAGAGCAGTCCTAGAAGAATGCTGGTTTGCTTGGGTGTTAATAGGGGACCGATTTGGGGCATCATTTAAAGAGATCTGAGCCTCCACTGGAGGGGCTGACCCCTTGAAGGCAGTAGCCCCTTTGTCTTAGTGTGCCTTGTTTTCCCTAGTTAGCTACAGAAAAGAGTGGATTGTTGTGGTCATTCAGTAGGCATACTGTACAGAAATGCAGCGTTTTTGTGCTGTAACATCTCTCACACAGTTGAGGAAGATGCTTGCTAACATATGTTTTGCTGACATGTACCAATTAACCCTTTTCAGAAAGCTCGTGGCCTCGGTGGAATTGCGCAGTTGTTTATTATGCGTTCCTTCTTGTACACCGAGACTATTTAATTTTCTAATTGACACATTCTTCAAATGGGTCCACGAAGGCATATGTGAATTTTTCCCCAAGCCTGCTTTAACTATGAGGTTTTGTAATAGTTGGTGTATTCAAAAGCTGCCCTTATTGGCAATTACCTGATTCCATAAAAAGTGGAATCGGGGTTTTTAATGACCCCTGAAAAACTCTGTGATCTATAATCAGAAAGATTATAGTTCTGGTGACTCATATCCTAATTTTCTCAAATTTTATAGAGAGTAGATGGAGGTCGGAGATGGGTTAGAGAAATGAATGTGGCAAAGTTGATGCTTACTCAGACTGGTTGGTGTGTTCACTATGTAAGACTGCACAGGTTATTAACTCCAGTGCAAAACCTTTCTGCTCAAAGCAAGGGGAGGAGAAACAGTAATTCCAGCTTTGAGTAACGTGATGGCCAAGGTGGGAGTTGGTGCGGTATTCCACTTGGAATGAGCACAACATTTAAACCATTGGAAACCGTAATCGATCGGGTTTCTTTTCCATTTTTAATTTCGAATTTTAATTAGCAGAGCTCGCACTCCTACAAGCAATATAAAATGTTGTGTCTGATGCAGAGAAATTGCTCTGAGCACATAAGCTGTGATGAAACAGCCATCTAAATGGTAATGTAGAATTATGTTATCCACTATTTACCTAATTCAAAGTTATTTGTAATGTTTTCACTAGGAGAAAATCCATTTTCAAGCATTATGAGAAAGATAAGATTTTCTGTGTACGCATTGATGAACCAGTACTAGTGGAGACAGAGATAAAAAAGGACACGAAGTAAATTTTGTGGGCAACTGCTGTAGATCGTTGTGCAATGTTAGATTTACAGCAGCTTTCTTTTTCCCTCCTAAATGGAGTTAAAAGTCGCCATGGTTAAATAACTGGCAGCTTGGATGCCGGCTGTTTGTCATGTAGAAGCAGAAAAGCCCAACTCTGATAAATAGACTGGGCCGCTTGTTTTGCTGCTGCTTTGCAGATTTATTTTCTTGGAGAAGGTTGTTGCTTTAACAACTTCTTAAAATGTTTTCCCTTCCTGCGAGCGACTCTTTCTTTTTATTCTTTTTTTTTTTTCCCTCCTTTTTTTTTTTTCTCCTTATTCCCCTTTGTGGTATGAAGTGAGATGGAGCGCTTAGCTCCAGGAAAATTCAGATTAAACTGCATTTTTATGCACTCTTTATTGTTTACTGAGGCTTGTTTGCATTTAGCACTCTCATGGGTAGTTGTATTCTCCAGAATTTAAAAAGTAGTAGTGCTTTACTGTGTTATTTTTCTTTATTTCCATTTCTAACCAGAAAGGACATTTTCACCACATTAAAGAGGTTTGAACTGCTTTACTGGAATAATTCCCTTGTACGTATTCACATTTAGAAGTCTCTGCTGCTTTTTTTTGGTCTGTTTTCACAGGCACTGGCTGTGTAGTAACTGCTTGTAAATACAGCATGGAGCCTGTGAATAACTCATACGATTTGTGGTGGCTGCTGTATGAGGAGAAGGTGGAACCGATATCAGGAACAAGTCTCAAGAACTTCAAAATGGAAAATTTTCAGATTTCTGTTTTCCAGGTGTGATCTTTTGGTGCAAACCTTAGGAGAGACCTCTCTGAGGACGCAGTTACAGGACCCTGCCCAAGCATCGGGGACCACAGCAGCAGGTCTGGGGTTTGCTGCATCTCCCATCCATGAAATCTGTACGTCCTCAATTCCTTGATGTGGCCATGCACCAAGAGGCCTGAAGAGGCCCTGCATCACCTGGCTGCATGGCCAGGGTCTTGTTTCTGATGAGAAATACCTGAGGTTGCTGCAATGGGGAGTTCAGAATTTGGGAGAGCTTCAGTTGGAAGAAGGGGGGCTTTGAGGGGTCGTGAGGAAGGCACTGTGGTAGCTGAGCTGTCAGCAACTGGTTCTCATTTGTCCAGCTTTTCAGAAAAAATACAATGTGAGATTGCTTTGCTTTCAGTTCGGTCAAATACAGTAATTTAAGCAACTCTTTAGCTGTAGGTACTTTGAATTACTGCTGCTGTGTACATGTGACAAGCCAGAAGGACTTGGGGTACTAATGCTGTCAAAGCACTTCAGAAGGGCCTTTCTTTTGCTCCAGAATGTGCTAGCTGGTCTTTCCTTGCTGTCTTAAGAATTCCAGATTATAGTTTTGAAGATTAAAAAAAAAATATCAGCTTAGACAACAAGACTTTAATTTCTCTGTGATTGTCCAGAGTGATAACTTGTATTGAAGATGCTTTAATTTGAATTAATTAGACAAGTTCAACAGCTTCCTACTTGGCTCTTCAGTCGGCTGGTGCATGACCTATTAATAAAAACAGAGGTAAACTGATTTGGCCATCTCAGCGTATACTTCTTGTTTTTCTACAGGTGAGGAGACTTTGCTCCCACTTTAGGGCACCTCCTGTCAGGCTGAGTTAATGGCACTGAGCGTCCCGGCTCTGACAAGAAGCTGGCAGCCATCGAGGTCTCTCTGCGGTCTCTTGGCATGGACCATGATTTCACACCTATCGTCACCTGTAACTCTTTGTACCATGACATCTTGTCTGACACCAATTATTTGGGAACATGCACTTTCTCACTTCTAAACTTTGTGCGTTAGAGACAAAGCCGTACTCTACATTTTTCACTGTGATGACAGTGCGAATTCATGTGTTCTTGGATTTAAGGCAATGTCTATTATCTTTTGTGAATAAATTTTATTAGGAAATCTTAATTACTTTTCTACATAATTAAGCTGTGTTTACCATCTATTCCTCTTTTCCCTTCTCTGCCCAGCAACTAATTATACAAAACAAAGCTAAAGACCTGTGGAGTGAGGTTAGTGAAATGCTAAAGCATCTTTTTTACTAATTTTTCTTTTGCCTCATGATCTGAAAGCATGAAATACAGCACTGCACTGATCTAACATCCTGATTTTCATCTTGTAAATTAACTTGGCTATAACTTCATGAAAAATTGTTTGAAATTCTCCTAAGTGCAGCTCTTGAAAGTTGAAAGCTCAGTGTTTGAACTTTTTTCTGTTGTGATTTAACTATGAACATGTTCTGAATATTTTGGTTTGCTTTTAGACAGAACTTTCAGCACCAAAAGTGTAGTCCAGTGAAGTATCACCTGTAAAAGGAAGGGCTTTATTGGAGCAGTTGGTTGGAAACTAATACCTGCCTGCACGCAGGTATTGTGGTATTGCTTCTGTTATTCCCTGTGAACCAGCGAAGGATTCTTGATAATTCTTTGATTTTTGCCTTAATTTTCACCACTCTGGATTACACAGAAGGTGAATATAGGTACGAAAATACCCTGCTGGATTTTGTGTCATCTCAAAGCAAGTCCTGACTGTTTATAACAAGTCCACATCTATCTTCCAGTGAACTTGAAATTTCCATGGTATTAATTTAATATCTTTAATTTGAATGAAGATGATAATCTCTTGTAGCGTGACAAACACGATAAAAAGCTCTGCCAGGATGGTGATAATCCACCATTTCTGGGTCACTGCCATGCTCTGCTCGGGAGACGTGCTAGGACTTGCTTTTCTGATAAGGACAAAAGGGCTGCGTATCCCGATGCACGCTGACAAACTCATTTTTCTGTTTAGACCAAGTATTAATCTATTGGTCTCTAAACAGAAAGTGCAATGACTTCTTACTGGTATTTGACAGTGTTACGAATGCAGCTGCCCAGTATGGTATGAGAAATCCCAGTGTTTGAGACTGGAGAGGGGCAGATGTGATCCGTTACTGCAGTGGAGTAATTTGAGGGTCCAGGCTTTTCCTTGTCCTGTTTCTTGTTAAACAAATTCTAAGGATGTCTTCTTCCAGGGAGAAGTTGCATATTTGCTCATGTTTCCTCTGATAGAAAGTGAAAGGATTGGGGGTTTTTTGTTAAAATGCAATCCAAAGATGTTTATCTGAAACTCGATTTATTAGGATATGGTGGCCTTGGTGATTGTGGGATTGTCTCAAATTACTGCTCTCGCTGCTTGTAACAGCTTTTCTCCTTCAGAACTGCCATAGCTTGAAAAAAAACCCCTAACCTTAACTGGTCAAGAAACAAGTCAGAGAGTTTGGCATCACAAGGAGGGCAATATAAGTAATCTGTAATCTCTGCTCCTCCCTCTTGAAACTAATAATAATCTGATTGATTTTCTAAGGAAAAATGCAGAATGTTAAGAAGTGGTGGGATGGGGGAAGCCTGTGTTGCGATGGCTTTATTACAGTGCATTTTCTGTAGGCTGGCTGTGCTGCAGGAGAAGTTAAAAGGCTGAATGACCTTGACCTCACTTAGAAACCTGCTCCCAGTGGATGCCCAACAGAGCGAAATGGCAGCTACTTCAGAGGTGTATTTCTGAAGGGAAACCTCCTATTCCCTTGGATTCTTATGGTAAAATATGTGGGATTTAAGTGTGATGGTGTAATGATGACAGACAGGAATAAAGGTTCTTTAGATGCCCCAATCTATTGT